CCCTCCCTCTCCCTCCCTCTCTCTCCCTCTCTTTCTCTCCTTCTGTCTCTTTCTCTCTCTCTCTCTTTCTTTCTCTCTCTCTCATGAACTAGATGCTAGTGACTTTTCATTTTGTAAAATATACCTTGTGTAACACTTTAGGAAATAGTATGCTTTACATTTCTATATATTTAATAGCAAAACGATAAATCTACTTTTTAAAGCTCTTGAAAGTATAAATTAATCACATCTCACCATCTAGAAAAAAAGAAGTAATGAATGTGTTTGAAGAACATTCGTCAGTTTTTCTTCTTGTACATTTTGATGAATATTGTTATGCCTTTAATTGGAGGACGGAAAGGGGAACGTTTTATCTTGATGCATCTTACATAGCTCTGACTACTGCCTTCAGTTCAGAGTATTTTGTTTTCTGGCTTATTTATAGCAGGTTCTACTAGAACTGTATTTCCCCAAGAAATTTTATTTCATATATATATGTATGTATATATGCAGTTTCTAAACCTGTCAGCTCGTTTGTCTTGATTAACTTATATGTCTTCATATGTTTTAGGAAGCAGTTCAGGTACTTTTGAAGCATTCTGCAGATGTGAACGCTCGAGACAAAAACTGGCAAACCCCTTTACACATAGCAGCTGCTAATAAAGCTGTCAAGTGCGCGGAAGCTTTGGTGCCCCTGCTGAGTAATGTAAACGTGTCCGATCGAGCAGGGAGGACTGCACTGCATCATGCAGCTTTCAGCGGACACGGAGAGGTAGGTGGCGTCCAGGTAGACGATGATTCTCTCCCTGCACCGCCCCCCACACCGTTTATTAATGAGCTTGCCTCATTTAGCCATTCATCAGTCCACAGTAAAAGCAAACAAAAATACCTATCTTGCTAATTTTTATCTAGTTTTGCCTTTAGCAAATCCTCAGATGTCTTTTCATGTTAATTCATGACACAGCTTTCTCAAATTGAGAAATTGATCAAATTCGGCCTTTGCACTTGAATTTCATGGTCACCCTGGGGAGACAGAGGAGAAGGATAGGCAGCTATACACAGTGTGAAGTGTGTTCTCTCGTCGTTGTGGGAAAAAGTATCTAGGAAGACAGAGCGGCTTTGTTGTCCAGAAAGAGGAGCAAAGGAAGGCAGAGCGTAGAAACATTTTCTTACAGTTTATCTTGAAAGTTGAGCCAGGAATTCTTTGATGACTCTGATACAACAAGCATTGGCTAATGTGAGGTGTTGTCCCAGCCCAGAGCGGACTCGTGTGTCCGTAGAAGACTCAGGGGAGCCCGGAGCCCAGAGGTGGCAGGGCCTGGGAGGCCGGCGGGTCCAGCCCCCGCGTCTGCCGCAGACCCAGACTCCGAGGGGAGGTGACGCTGGCTTCCCAGGGCTGAGCGCCACTGCAGTGGTCCTCGCTGTCCTCCTCTGCCTTTGCGACAGAGAGAGTTCTTGCCTCCCCTGCCGTTCAGGTCCCTAGATGAGTCCCTTTTGCACATCTGGAGTGCCTTTTCCAGCGCTGGGGGGCCCCTGTAAACAACAGCTATTCTTGGTACATTCTGAGGTCAGTGGGCTGTGCAGTGACCTTCAGGTCTAACCATATTATAGACACTGCATTTGTGTTTGAGTTAAGTTTAAGATGTTTCTGGGATCAGAATGCACTTTGAATTTCAGTAACACTTTGGGCTGTAAGGAGGAGGAGAACCTGTTGTTAAATATTCCACCTTAGACTTTGCAGGTTTGTGCTTAGTTGTTCATAAAACACTGGAACACAAAATGGCATCTTTAAAAGACACCGATGCTTCAGCAACACTGAAACCTTTTTTCTCTGTTCTGTCCTCTTGTTTATTAAATGATGTTAAAGGGTCTTCAGTGTGTAGTCCAGCTCCTGCAGATGCAGAAACCCCAGCGTGCAGGAGGTGGAGATGAGCAGTTGTCACGAGGGCTATTCAAGAACAGTTCTGCTGATGAATTTTGATGAAACCTGTTTATTTTTATTCCAGATGGTCAAACTGCTCCTGTCTAGAGGTGCCAATATTAATGCTTTTGACAAGAAAGATAGACGTGCTATCCATTGGGCAGCATATATGGGTATGTACTTTCTCAATGTATTTTTTGACATGATGTATTAAGGAAAAGTTAGGACATCTTAGTTACTGCATTTGGTGGAACATGTCTCTTAGGACAGTAAGAAGTTACCTGCTACCTGAGTTTGCTGCCCGCAGGGAACCAGCCTGGTGGTGAGGGAGGTTTGCCAAGACAGGAGTACGTTGGGTCCAGTTCTCCTGAAGGCTGTTTAAAATTAATTTGATGTACCTTCAAAGGGAGAGACTTCCTAGACACGGGCCTGGGGTGCAGAATTTAGGTTGGTGTTTACTAAAAGCCTGCTCATACCATCCTGTACCCATCCTTGCTTGTGTGGGACTAGTAAGGCAGGAGTTACGAAGATGTATTAAGAAGCCTATCATTTGGGGCAGAAGCACTGGGCTAAATCGGCATCGTCACATATGACTTCTCCAACAGCAATTTCACAGAAAGAAACTGAGGCTTAGAGTAGAGGCTTTTCTGCTTTCGGCATCTTGAAAAGTCTTAGGATCTGCAGAATTGCACCCTGAATCTGACATTGCTCCTGTGAGACAGTCCTGGGGCAGCCACAGCTCCATGCGCCCAGCGCTAACAAGTCATTAGTGGGCTCTTGCGGTACCTTGGACACTTGGGGAGGAGGCAGATCAGCTGCCTCGGACACTGGAAATGCACAGGACAGGGTAGAGATGCTGGCTCATGGGCGCTAAGACCATCCCCAAACCTTACGAGTCCTGCAAGGCTGGGCCATGCCTCTGATTGTGGGGTGGGGGGCGTCCGTGGATGCCTCTTAAAGTCGAGCTGAAGGAACCCCTTCTTTCCCAGAAGTCCCACTCTCCTGCTGCTCTCCTGGCTTCTCGGGCTCAGGACAAGCCCTGTGTGGGCAGACTGGGGAGACTGGTCACACAGGGACGCTCACACTGACCGATGACAGTGACAAGCTGGCTGGCCCCCTCACAGGCACAGCTTCTCACTACTCCGTACTCTTGGTTTTGGTCTCTTCCTGTCTCTCACTTAAAATCAGAAGATTAAAAAAAGACTTGGTGGAAGAGTATTAATTTTAAAAACTTAAAATTAATTGTGATTAATTTGTAAAATAGAAAAATGTAAGTAGCCCACTGAACTCAAGCCTGTTGTCAGTACCCTGAGGTCCAGGAAAACCCTTTTCCTGGCGTAGAAATAACTCTCGGCCTCTTGATGTTTCTCTCACACCACCGGCTTGTGCCTCTGGGTACGTCAGGGCAGGTTTCTTCTGCTGATTGAAGATAAAACGTCCAGAAGCAAGTGTCCAGGGGTGCCTGAAGCGCCCTCCTCACAGCCTGTAGATTCTCCATCTTTTAAGTCCTGGGGACTTTTCTGAATATTCTGGAGTAGCTTATTTTGCAGGACAGTTTAGGAACAGCTAGTCTATGATTTAAAACTCTGTACGTTCTGTTAAAGGGTTTTCACATTAAGCAGAATACACCAGGCCTTGTATCTCCAGAGAATTAGACTTGGCTAAACAGCCAAATTGAAGGCCAAGGAATCTCGTGAGTCACCTCTGAGCTCCCAGGAGAGCTGGTGTGCGTTACTGTCTCGGGGGCCCTCGGATGGCTCTGTTTGCCCCGATCTACTGAGTGTCCCTTTTTGGGCCGATCGTGGATTGAAAAAGATACTGTGTTTCTTGGCCCTCGAGGTTCATTTAGTTTTTGAGCATAAACATTCAGAGATTCACAGTTCTCCCTTCCCTGTCTCTTCCTTGCTTTAAGCTTGGAAAAAGAGGAGTATTGACACATAGTTTCTAAAACTCATCATTTGTTCTAGGCGTTGAGGATTAAAGGGGCTAAATATGTGAGAGCAGACTGTTGTTGACTGGTCTGTTAGACGGGCCTGAAACCCCGGTCACTGTCACTGCTGGAGACACTGTTGCTGCTAGCCTGAGACACGCGAGGATCCACGTGTTCTTACCACTCATTTCTCAGAGGCATCCTTGTTTGCCCAGACCTTCCACCCCTGGCAGAGGCTGCCTGCCTTCTCTGCGAGGCCTGACCTCTTATCTTATGCTGTTGGTGAATTCTTTCCCACCTCTGCCTCCCAATGGGCCGGGCATTTTCCCCTCCCTAACCCACAGTTTGCCTCTCCCATGAACCTTCGTCAAGATCCCTTTTCCGCGTTCATCTTTGCTCTTGCATTCAGTACCTTTAGCAAGATCCAGGCAAGTTTTGCCTCAGGTTACCTTACCGTGATGACCTGACATAGAGAATACTGAATAAATGTTGTATTACCTTGACAAGCAGCTCAGTACGTTACTTCTTCTTGAAGCATTGCATAATTTGAGTTGATGTGAAATGGTATTTTTTTCTCCTTTTCCTTTCCATAAAAATTTAGAAATTCTAAACATAGCCCATTTTATTTTAGTTATATATTCATGAACAAAAGAAAAATGTAGAGAATTTTCCAGATTACTGAAGGATAGTGGTTACATTTATCACATTCACATTGCATGGGTGTGATGTTTAAAAGACGTTGTTATTGGCTACAGCATTATGTGTGCCACGCATGTCTGCCGGATGCTGCCTTCTGAAAGTAGCCCCAGATGAGTTAAATGAAACCCAGTCCCCTTGGTAGCACCGCTCTGTAAATTGATAAGGAAGATACATGCTTATTCTGACTAGGGTCCACCCAGCTACAACAGTACCATTTATTTCACTCTAGAACTTTCTTCCCTTTTTTCTTTTAAGTAAGTCACCCCCAGCTGGCTGTGCAAAGGCCCTTTCTTCATGTTTGTAGTGGTCCATTGAAGGAACTGATGCATACTTCAGAAATGTGCTTAAATAAATATTTGTCAGTTTTAACATTGCCTGTGCATGCTTTTTAAAAATACAGCTGTACTGGTGTTAGGAAAAGTTCACATTTCCTGGAGTCTGCTAGTTTGTACACACAATTAGTATGATCTGCATCATTTACTTATAATGAGATGTTGGTTTTGAACAGTTTTTCCAGTATGTTTGTATTATGGGCCTTCTAGTCTTAAAAATTGAGTTTTTTTTAAGATTTTCACTTTGGCATATTAGTGAATAATATGCTTTGTTCAGTTTTAAAGATGTATCTGTGTGTGAGCCTCCTGGGTACTGTAAGTCCTGGTTTTCAGTACAGCCATTAAAATCAGCCCAAGCAGTTGTCTTTCTAGGGCGTAGCTCAGAGAGTGATGTGTCATGAGAGCTTTTGTACCAGTTAGTACCTTTGCATGGTAGTCACATTTAGCTTGACATCTAATGATTTGATAGATAGTCTTTTGATGTTTTCCTAAAAATACAGTAGATATTTTTCATACTGAGATGGGGGGAGATAGCTGAAAGTATCCACTTTAATTGATAATTTTTATATAAACAACTAAATCTACTTGATTTCTTTGTGCATCTCATAGTGTCTTTATTTCAGTGGGGATGGGTCCTGCTGAAAGTCTCATTTTTATAGTTATTAACTTGATATGCTCCTTCCCTATGAAGGAGTATTAAAAATGGCACCCTGAGCAGCTTGTTTAATGTAGCAGGTAGTTATTGGGTGCCTGTTTTGTGTGAACCATACCAAGAAGTAGAACATAGAACCCAATGATATTTGCCTTTGAAGATACGTATTTGGGAACTTAATATATCAAAGTAATTAAAGAGTTAGTTAAGTGATGGCTCAAGTTTAAGAAAGATCATAAGAGTATTAAATGCTTATTAGGTGGTATTTGCAGGTACATGATGCTTTTGGCCATGCAGTTCTGGAGAACTCGAAGTCTTGTAAGACTTTTAGGGAAGAAGGGAACTGACGTGACCTTCAAGGATTAGTAACAATGATTAGAAAGAAATACCCAAGCAGAACATTCCGTACAGGGAGGGACTCGTTCTCATGAAGGAAGGCTCAGAGGTGGGAGGGATTATGGGAGAGGAGAAAGCCCTGCGTAAGCTAATCTGACAGGAAGCGAGGAGACAGAGAAAGAGAAGAGTGGTTCTCCCACCTTCCAGATACATGTTCCCCTTCCTGGCCTCCCCTGGGGTTGAGGGCCCGAGGCCGGCTGACCGGTGAATGCAGCCTCAGCCCCGGGCCACAGCTTCGCTCACTGCTGTAAGACTGTGCGGTCTGCCTGGTGCGGTGACTGGCTGCCTCCCAGACGGCGTCAGCTTCGTGAGTCTGGATCCTTGAGTGACGGAGCAGAGCCCTCTTACCGAGTTACAGTAACACTAGTGAACAGTAAAACACTTAACTGTGCAAGCCGCTGAGATTTGGGAGCCGACTACTGACCACAGCATATATAACCTAGCCTGCCAGGGTGGGTAGCAGACAAAGGTTAAGGACACCCAGTGGAAATAACAAGGGAGAAGCAGCTTTTAGCTGTGTGTTCTAAAGACCTAGCACTTTTAAGAAATGAGCCCAAGTCGTTCCCAGATTCCCAACTGGAAGATTCCACTAAAGCATACAAACATAAACTGAAGTCTTACATTAGACATAAAAAGCTAACTGGAGAACTTCAGAGTGTATTCAGACAACCTTGAAAAAACAGTAAGATCTAGGCAAAAGGAGGATTATAGATCACAAATTTATCCTTAGATAAAATAATCCATTAAATGTATTGTTTTCAATGATTCGTTAGCGCTATCAACATTTATCAAAATTACCCTGAATTGTTTTTTTCTGTCCTCTGGTTGTCATTGTGACTCATCGGTGTCCTGTCATGCACTATGTAGTCAATTTGCATTTTTACCTTTCCTTAAAGATGCGCAGGATTATATTTCATATTTTCCCTGTACTCATCTGTATTTTTTCTTCATAAACACATTTCAGGTCACATTGAAGTGGTGAAGTTACTTGTGGCACATGGCGCTGAGGTGACGTGCAAGGATAAGAAGTCGTACACGCCCCTCCACGCCGCAGCCTCCAGCGGGATGATCAGCGTCGTCAAGTACCTTCTAGACCTGGGGGTTGATGTAGGTGCACCGGCTGAACAGTGCAAAGGGACGGAGCGCCTGTGTATCTGTGCTGTCAGTGGTGGTACATGTTACACAGATTCAGGAGACAATTTCTTACAATAATGTTTTTGTCTTCTAATGCTTTTCTGTTTATAGTCCTCTGTATACTATATGGTACACTGATATCTGACCAAGATACGAAATCAGTCAAAGTATATTAAGAGATAAAACAGCGGGGGAGGGTATAGCTCAGTGGTAGAGTGTGTGCTTAGCATGCACGAGGTCCTGGGTTCAGTGCCCAGTACTTCCTGTAAAAATAAGTAAATAAATAAACCTAATTATCTCCCCCTACCAAAAGAAAAAAATTAAAAAAAAAGAGGTAAAACACATTCCAAAGGTGAACAATTGATTGGCAGAAGTTTCTCCTTTCCATCACATTCTAGGCCCTGTAGCTTTGTTTCAGCTGAGGAAACCCACAGATCAGACACACTTGGATTATTCTTCCTAAGTGGCTGAGTTGGTGTTAGCGTTATTTGCCCAGTGTGTCTCCTGTTCCCTGTAGGTGACCGTCGCTGTTCACAGCACCGGCCATCGGCCGGAGGGAGACAGGAGAACGGGGGATCCTGGCCTGGCGGCTGAGTCCCCTGCTGTTTGTGAGGAAGGGCTGCTGCGTCATCTGAACGTGTCTGATTCCGGACCTGAGCTAGCTAAGGATACCTCTAGCTCCCACAGTCCAGCCTCTCGGCACATCTTCTTTGCACCCACTCTTAGTGTATTTACCCTTATTTTAGGTACATTTTTGACAAACTCATCTGGTTCTTTAAAACACAGATTAAATAGAAAGAGTTGTTTAGATCAACTGCAGACAGAAATGTGGGAGGTATTCTGGTTGGATGAAGAATCTACGTGACACTGTGTAGAGCTGAGTAGACTCAACTTCAGGACTATGTGAGACACTCAGTCCAAAGCACACAAGTAGTTACGGAAAGTGTGGGGACCAGACATGGACATACATTGTCAGGTAGACTCTTAATAGGGTGCAAACAGAGGGTAGTTTTGTTTTAAGCCCACAGTTCTCACAGCTTTGTCTCAACGGAGTCACATAATGTCTTGGAGACCTTTGATGTGGATAAATGAGGCAGCCTTGTTTCTGTTTCAAGTTCATTCTGGTGCAGTTCTGAAAGCTTATTTTATTGACAGCAAAATAACATAAACTCTGGTGAGAGTGTCCCTCAAAAAAAGTGGTCAGACTCAGAGCCATTTAGTGACATGTGGCCTCCAATGGTGTGATTGTTAAGTTTTTGTAGAGCTGACATAATAAATTACGACAATACAGGTGACTTAAAACAATTAATTTAACTTCTCAAAGTTCTGCAAGCTCTGAGGGAGAATCTGTTCCATGTCTGTCAGCTTTTGGTGATGAAGTCTGAGTAACTTGACTTAAGTTAGGCTTGCTTTTTCACTTCCTCCAATTTCTGTTACTAAGGACCTGAGAAAAGAAAATGTAAAATACAGTTGTGCTAAGTTGGGGCGAACCACAGGGTTAGAGGGCACAGCCTCCACACCAGACTGCCTCTGCTTCTGACCAGCCAGAGGTCTGAGAGTTTCCCAAAGCCGCCTGCAGCTTGGATAATTCATTGGAAGGACTCAGAAAACCCACTGGAAGCTGTTATGCTCACAGTTGTGGCTCATTACACAGAAAAGATACAGATTAAGAACAGCCAAAGGAAGAGACCCACAGGCAGCATCCAGGAGCACTGTGAACACAGAGCTTCCACCCTACGCCCTCAGCCCCTCCATGGGGTTAGGCCTCCTTGCTCTCCCGGCATCAGTGGGTGACGCTGTACACAAAGTACTGCCCAGCAGAGGCGCCCACCTGGCTTTGTGGTCACAGTTTTACTGGGGCTCCATGACACGGGTGTGGCTGATCAGAATTGCTCGCGTGGTTGATTTCAGTCTCCAAGTCTCCTGATCCCAAGGGACCCAAGGCCCCTACCCTCAGTCATGTGGTTAGTTTATGTGTTGCCTGGGACCCTACTCTAAAGGCTGTCAGCTGTGCCTAACCCCGCCTCAGATCCAGGGTTGCCAGCTACCGCCAGGTGTGCCATACATGACCTCCCAGAAGACGGGGAAAAAAGGCGAAATTCCTCACTACAAAGAGGTCACATAAACTTTAAAGTAGTCAACCAGTTTATTTCTGAGAAATAGGAAAAGAGCTTGAGTCCCATGAATTATTTCGCAATGTTGAGTGTGTTGTCTAGAGCACACTCATTTTGGTAAAATGCCCACATGTGAGGCTGGAAGATAACCTAGAGTCCAAGTTGGTTACAGAAATGATTGTCACTCAGTTTCTAAAAATTCTGGTCTCTGCTAATTTATCAGCTTTAATCTTTTGTCACTGTGAGCAAAACAGCTGAAAATATGCATGTTTTTCAATGTATCTCAGAATTTTCAGTTTATGTTCACTTGTCTTGATTATTCAAGTTAATTCTATAATTGTCCCTTACCTAGTAGGCTTTTAAAAATACATTATTTCAGTTTTCATTTTCCTCAAATATCTCTTGGAATCATTCAGTTTTGTCACGAAGTAGACGTACGTATGAATTATATTCCCTGGAGGTACAAAATCCATTTGATACCACAGTGCTGCTGTGTTCATTATTTTTAAAGAACTTTAAAGTTGTTACAAGCCTTATCTGTGTATTTATCCGTTTGTTTCTCACTTTAGTGATTTGCTGTCAGCCACAGCGTTGCCAGAGTAGCTCGCAACAATGGTGATTAGGAAGACTGCTTTAATATTGGCATTTTTTTCTTGCAACAGATGAACGAACCAAATGCCTATGGAAACACGCCTCTTCATGTCGCCTGCTACAATGGGCAGGACGTTGTCGTGAATGAACTTATAGACTGTGGTGCTAACGTCAATCAGAAGAACGAGAAAGGGTTTACTCCTTTGCACTTTGCTGCTGCATCAACTCATGGAGCACTGTGTTTAGAGCTTCTAGTAGGCAATGGGGCTGATGTCAATATGAAGGTATGAGATAAAATCAGAATCCATATGCAGTGCTCAGGAGTTCACTGGAGTCAGTAGCGTATGCCCTTCAGCAATAAACAGCAATGAATCACTGATACACACGGATGAATCTTAAAAATACTATGCTGAGTGAAAGCCTTGCACCGGAATATATTCACTATTTCCATTTCTATAAGGTCTTAGAACAGACAAAATTCAACTTATATGAGGCTTCAGACGCTATAGTTGGATAAAAATCAAAAACGGAACAGTTGTTGCCTGTGGGAGGGGGGACTGGTGAAAAGGGGGCATAAGGGAACCTTCTGGTTGATGGTCACGTCCTGTCTTCTGCAGGCTTTGTGTTGTATAAATAAGCTTTAGTCAAAACTCATGAAGTGGTACATTTAAGATTTATGCGCTTCATTGCGTGTAAATTTTCCCTTAGAAGTTTACAAGCTGAATATGTATTGGTATTGAAGCCAGGTTAGTGATCTGCATACTAAAGTGTTTGGAGCTAACACGCAGTGGCATCCGCAGCTAACTGAAAAGCGTCACATAGTCAGGTGGGTAGGTGGCTGATGGGTGGAGAGGCTGATGTGTGAATTCTCGCTGCAGTGCAGTGGTGGTGGTAGAGAGTCTAGGTGGTAGGTACATGGCTGTTTACTGTGGGAGTCTTCCAACTTCTCTGTTTTGAAAGTTTTCACAATGGTAGAATCAATGTTTTATGTATAAGGAGTAGTTGCTTTCTGGGTCTTTGATCAGTTACTTCCAAGAGTGAGCATTTGGCTTTTAGAAATATGGAGAAATTCTGGAGCCAACATAAATGTACCTTCAGTGCTTAGTTCTTTGGGAACACACATGAAGCCACAGTGCTGAGCATAACTACTTTATAATGTGTAATCATCATTGTATATTTTCCAGGATGCTTTCACTGATTGCTTCTGTGTTAATTCAGTACTTCATTCTTTGAGCACTTGCCAGACTATATCTTGTGGTTTAAAGAAAACCACAAACAAAATTGAACCATTTGGGATTAATGAAAATATTTAAGCTTCAAGTGTTTCCAGCACTTTAATTACATAAAATGTCAGTTTCTTCGGTAGGTGTGGTGAGCCAGTGTCTGTCAGACTGGTCAAGAAGGGAGTCCAGTTCTCACTCTCTAACTTTAGAACATCCTTTAATGATGCCGCTGACCCACTCTGACAGCTGTGGTGGCGGAGGGCCCATCTATAATTAGGTCATTGCTCTTAATTCCCTGTCCCAGCTCAAGGACAGGACTTGTACGTATCAACCCATGGGAGGAGAGGGTGCGAGAGACCTGAAAGAACCCACTGCAGTTACAGTGCCTCTTTTAAGAATATACATTTAAAGCTTTCAGTCCTCAATCAAATCCCCTACTATAGTTTTATTTTTATAGTTTAAATAACTGCTAGAAGTTTACTGATAATTAGTTTAAACTACTTGTTTTGATTTGAAGGATTCCTGCTGTTGGGTAATCAATGCCCAGAAAAAATACCTAAAATCTTGTGGTGGGGGGGATTTTTCACTTATTTCCTCAAAGGCCTAGTAATAATTTTTAATGAAGGGCAGGCTATTTTAAAAATAAAAACTTTGAAATTACCTTAACATTCTTCAAATGAGAAGATGTCAACCAAATATTTTTAGTGTCTAGGAGATCTGTTTATAATAAAGTAGCTGTAGTTAAAATCATCTGTGCTAATATAAATATGAAGTGTCCTAGAGGAGGGGATGCTTACCTCTGTCATTAGCTATTTATTGCACATTTGTTAGTTTATATGGTGCTGTCTTTAAAAGGTAAAAATTAGGCTTTCTGTTTATTTTATATAGTACCATTTAGGTAGAAATATTTACTACAATTTGATAATTAATCTCTTGGTTCATACGTCATTGCCTACATAGTTGACTCTAGTACCTTTGGTTATTTTTAAGTGTGTATTTTCTTTTGAAATGTAGGAAAGAGAATCAATTCTGCAAGAGGCTCACCTAGCATGCTCAGACCTGTGGTCCTATTCCAAGTTACTTCCTTAATGATTTAGAAAATTCAGTGGTGGATTTTACGAGGGAATTTTTTTAGCAAAGCAGTCAAGATGTGGTGGTTAAGTAGATTTGAAGGCAACAGGCTATGACGATGGTTTAGAAATAGATTTCATGGAAGTTGCTTTGATCTTGTCTGAGGACATAAGACATCCTGCTAATTGTAATTGTCTGATTATCTTACTGCCAAGTTCATTGAAACACATTTCCCATCTTGTTAATAATTTTTAAGGTAACTTCCAACTCTAAAATTATATAAAAATTGTTGGTAGCTGTGAGTTTTTGGCCAATAAGAATGTATATTCATTCAAGAAGACATCTTTATTACTGACCCCTGCATTTTGTTTATTTGTCACATCGGTGCTTATCAAATTGTTGCTTGCCTGAGGAGCTAAGGCTTTGACATTTGCCTGGTATTATAAAAATAGTTCTGTTTGCTGACCCTCATGTTCTCCTGATTATCAAGTCACCTTTCTCCATCTCTTCTTCCATCCCATTCTCCATATTGATGTTCCTGTCCTTGATCAACTTGTGATGACTAGAAATTGGAAGGAAATTTAGGTGTGTGATTATTCAGTTTATAAGTTTTAAATTGGTTGTCCTACGTAGAGTTAAAATGAATGGTTTTTAAAAAGCAGTGTAAGTCTGGTTTTCATAACCTTGCTTAGCATGAACCCCACAGCATTGGTTGTATCACTTGCATAAAAACCTTTTCCCAGCTCACCCTCTACTTTAAATTTTGGTCAGATAAACAGAATACCCCAAATACTTCTTTCCTTTGTGATGGTCACATGTATGATTTGATTAACAAAACAATTTCAGGGAAGAAAAGACTTTTACCTAACTCAAAATAAAAGATGCCACCTAACTCAGGCATTGTTTTTCTTCAGATTTGGAATTCCTTTCGAGTTTCAGAATTTCTACGTTTACATGCACACGTACAATCTGGTTTATTATTATAAGTAATTTGAGAAAATAGCTAACTATTTATTACAAATAATTGTAAACAAAATAATATATAAAGTTTTTGAAGTGAATTATAGTGGCTGAAATTAATTCTAACATTCGCTTTTCCTTGGTCAAGGAGGGATTCAGCTTTTCTCACAACAAAGGAATTGTAGCAATGTGACATGTTTGCAGCTTGGGAAGCACATCTGGGCTGTACCACTCCCAGTTCTGTGACCTTGGGTGGAATCATCGAATGCCATTCTGCTTCCGTTCCCCCACCTGTGAAATAAGAATGATATGATTACACCATACCCACCAGTCAGAGCCTTTTTTATTGAGTTTTTTTGTATATTTGTGCTTTATGGTACACACAGTAAAAAGTTAACTCATAATTTTGGACAGCTGTTTTACCGCCAGAGGCTTCAGTTAAACTTAATGCTTGAGGAGTACTTTTTACACAAAATAAAGTTGCAAAAGGATATTCAAAATAAAACCAGTGAATACATGTTACAGATCTAAGAAGGTATTTTAATCTCTTGCTTGTTTATTTCAGAGCAAAGATGGGAAAACCCCACTGCACATGACTGCCCTCCACGGTAGATTCTCCAGATCCCAAACCATTATCCAGAGTGGTAAAAAGTATTTCTGTGTGTTTTTTTCTTAAATGTAGTAAAAGCATCCACAAAATGAATGGTACTGAGGAATTGTCATAGTGGTGTATACATTTTTTACATTTAGTATCAGGGCTCACGGAAATCAGACAATAAAAAATTTAAGATACCATGTACTTGCATCTTTTGAAATTATGTTCCTTTTTATTTTTGTTTCCCCTAGATTGTAAATAATAATTTCTCTAGCAGTTAGTGTTGAGTTTTTTAAAAGCATTGCTAGGTAGGAAACTCTGCCTTTCCACTACAGTTTGTATTATATGTTAAAACTCGGTTGCATTTCTTTCTCCCCTTTTGAATCTTTCAACTCTTTTTAGGATTTTTATTCATTTCCTGAACTTGTATTCTTTTGCATTTGAATTAGTACTAGGCAAGCTAAATTTTTAAATAAAAAGAACTTTTAGGTACGTTACTTTAAAGCATTATTTCACAGGCCATGTTCCAAGGAACTGTTTGTTAGTAGCCCTCGGGATAATATTTGTTCTGATTTTGCAGGGAAAAGGTAGGGATAGGCTCATGATCCAGTAGTTCATGCAGCACTGCGTGCAGTCTTCTCTATAACGTGTAGAGTGCAACATTAAAGCTGGGAAAGTCTTGCTCTAGAGAAATGTGTTTAATTTTGTTTTAATGCTATGGTTTCCAAACACAGGGACCCCAGAAGCCTGTTGTCATTCCTAAATCTGTTAAAATCTTATGCTCAGTCCACTAAATTGCTTTAAGTATAAAATCTGTAACCCCAGTGCCTGACCCAATTAAATGTGCTTGCATGAAATCTGTAGTTCAGTTGCTGTATCCATCAGTTTGTGCCTTGACTAATGTTTTATATTACTTTGCATGTGATAGATGTGCCTTGATCTTTTCCTAGTCCTATGTCTGACAGTCCGCCCTTTGCTGCAGGCGCTGTGATCGACTGTGAGGATAAGAACGGAAACACCCCTTTGCACATAGCAGCGAGGTACGGCCATGAGCTGCTCATCAACACGCTTATTACAAGTGGTGCTGACACTGCAAAGTAAGTGCTTCCCCGGGCGCTGATGCCGTGGTGGGGGAACACGCCGGGTGGGACACACGCTTTTCTAGACGCCTCAAGTGAAGATGTGGGTTTTGTCCTCAGTGTAGTATTCGCTACTTGAGCTTTTTCCCCTTTCTATTGGCTATGTGGTAAAACAAAATGTTTAATACAATTTCATTGGGTAAGCCATCATAGGGTATTTTCATATTTTTTATCCCAGTTCTTTCTAGATTTTAAGTAATATAAGTTTCCATGTAAGATTTTGTTTAAAGGATGGATTCTCTTGCATGCTCTACAGGCATAAACACCCTACTTAAATTGATGTTTATCATTCTTATGTATGTTTCTATATTTTTATTACATTTTTATATACTCATAAACATGTTTTTAATCATATTTTAAAGTTTCTGTAAGTGGTATGCTGCTGTATACTTTTTTGCAACTTTTCTTTACATGTACATGAAGTTGTTGATTTAGCCACTTAGATGTAAATTTGGGCTTTTTTCTCATCTCTATAAGTTACTGTAATTCATTCGTCTTATAAAATTTAATTATAGTTTAAAGATTTCACAATTTATTCATCCTTCTTATTTGCAAACACAGGTTGCTTCCAGTTTTCTACCATCACAGGAATTACTGCAGTGAACACTGCCCTGTGGCAGTGATTCTCAGCGGAGGGGTGGGGAGAATAGATTCTGCTCCCCAGGCAAACGTCTAGATGTTCTTGGTCATCATCCTCTGGGCAGGAGGGTGTTACTGTCGGCCTGTGTGGGTACAGCCCAGAGGCACGTCCTGCATGCACAGGAGAGGCCCCCACATCCACAACAACAGTAGTGCTGAGGCTGAAAGACCGTCCCCAGAGAGGGAGATTGCTGGATAAGCTAAGCTGTTTCCTGGTAATTTATGTGGTGGTTGTGTTTGTCTTCAGGCGTGGCATACATGGAATGTTCCCCCTCCATTTGGCAGCCTTAAGTGGTTTCTCAGATTGCTGTAGGAAACTTCTTTCTTCTGGTGAGTAGAACCTTCACAGACAGATTACCCCTTTTTCCTCCGCAAACTCCCCCTCCCCATTTTAATACAGTCTCTTTACTATGCTATTCCAAAATTACATACAGGTATGTCCAAGTATGGATCCTTTATTAACCCATCTTAGAAAATGTTGAGTCCTTTCATTTTCAGGTTGAATTTTCTCTTTGGCTCTGGGGGGGATCTCATTTTTCCAGCAGTCTCCTCCCTCTCAGCTAGGGAGTGGGATATGGGCTGTTCCCATAGCCGCCGCTTTACGTCTTGACGCAGACTATCTTCATGGGCATCTTTCCTTTTTAAGAGCTGATAGCCATTTAGGTTTGTGAAATTATTTATGCCATATCTAACTAGGGTTTTAAAATGCTACACACATTCATAGTGAGTTTGAAACAAAACAGGATCAATAGGTTTCTATAAATATTACTAAAAACTACGATCCTTATTAAATGCATAGAATTACTAAATACATAATTAATTTTAAATAATATTCTATTTCCCAAAGTGTTAGGAAAGTTAAGCAGATTTTATTATATTAATACTCATGATTGATGGGAGAATTATGGGGAAGTTTCAGTGAAAAATTAACATTGTGACACAGACACTTGTGAGTTTTTCTTAATGACATCTTTTAAGTGAGGTAATTGTGTTTCAAGTGTTTTAAGTGTATGTGTGTTCACAAGTAATCACATGCCCATTTATCTAAGAGAGAATTCTAAAAATCTTTCCTCAGCGTTAGTAATAATCTACAGGTAACGAAGTATGTATGGCTCTCAAAAAAAAACAGTTTTATTAAGATATAATTCACATGCCATATAATTCACCCATTTTTTTGTCAGTGTTTTTAGTATATTCAAAGAGATGTGTGACTATCACAGTGGATTTTAGAACAATTTAATCTCCCCCCCAACAAAAGAAACCTCATATGTAGTCAGTCCTCATTCCCTCCCTCCCACAGCCATGAGCAGTCACTAACCTGCCTTCTATCTCTATAAATGTACCTATTCTGGACAGTTCATAGAAATGGAATCACCCAAGATGTGGTCTTTTGTAACTGATTTCTTAGAAATGTTCTCAAGGGTCATCTAGTCTCATAAACACATGTCAGTGCTTTATTTCTTTTTATGGCTAATAGTGTACCACTGTGTCCTCTGGCTTTCAAACAGTTACTCTAGCATTTGTCCTAAAACCCCTCAGTCCTTTAGTGGTAACTTTTTTGGGAAGCATTGTACACTATTAATCTATTTTCAGTAATTTTGTACCTATTTGTAATTCATAGTTTTGTTTGAGATGGGGGGGTATGATTTTTGACACTTGATGTAATATTCATTCTTGTAGGATTTGATATAGATACTCCAGATGATTTTGGCAGGACCTGTCTCCATGCAGCTGCAGCTGGAGGGTATGTTAACAAAATTTTTACCTTTTTAAAGAAGAGGGTAGCTAGTCATGGCAGTTTTCCTTTTATCTTGTTTCTCTCTATAACATAACAGAAGTGGTTCGGGAGAAGAAAGTTCAAAAATTGCTTTTTTCATCTTCTCCCAGCTTAATAGTAAGTTGTGAATCAGGGTGACAGGACAAACCTACAGCAGGGAACACTGCTTTCCCTGAGAAAGCCGATCCTGGGTGAGTGAAGACCTGTCCTCAGATGAGAGCATCCGGGCGGTGGGAGTGCTCTGGGGAGGACTCGTGCTCTTTGAGAAGGTGTTTGAGGCTTCGAGTCCGAATCTGAGGGAAAACTGTTGGTGGTCTATTCATATCTGGCCTCTACTCAGGACTGATATGCAGGAAGAGGAAAATTTGAGATTGAAAGATTTTGGACTAAATTTTAAATATTACTATTAGAAGAAACTAGGCAGTTGGTTTGAATGAACAGCAAATTTCATTTAAAACTCTTGGTCTCTGAAGCATGCTTTTGACCATTGAGATCCTAAATGTGTGATAAGTCATTTAATTCATAATGACTTATCAGAAGGACATTTGCAAGAATTTACTCCCAGTAATAATTCCTTAAAAATTCCTGGCGGTTTCAGAGGGCAGGTTTAGGCCAGTCTCCGTTGAAGAGATGGATTGTGAAAGTGTGGCCAGGTCCTCCTGTCTTCCAAGGTCACTGAAGAACCATCCAGTTAAAACCCAGCTCCCGTGTCACCCGCCCACAGAGTGAGAGACAGCAGAGAGCATGCACATCTGGTCACTTGGCAGTTAGAGTTTTCACTGTAACGTAGGATATTAGTGTTCAGGATCATACAGTGAAATTACAGAAACACCTTCATGTGTGCTGTGCCCTCTGAAGTTCTAACTACAGGTACACCTGAGTGAGCAGCTGTAGTGTAGACGGGGATGGGGAAGGCTGGCCTGGGCGTCATCTGTATTTTCAGGCTTGTTTGAGGTTTTTTTTTTCCCCAGTCCATTTTAATTTAATTCAGTATTAAAAATCGCTGACATTTAAACCGTTCAGTTTTAAGCATGTTGTTTGAAGTTTGATTTTAAAGGTTCCTAAAACCTCTTCAGGAACTTTTACAAATGTGAACTTCTTTTTAAACGGTGAAAACGTGACTCCTTTGTTAATTTCCTTCCACGTGCTAATGTAACTTAAAATCAAAGATAAGATGAATTTTAGTGTTCTTGTTCTTTTCTTTTTAACACCTTTAATATGGTTTGGTTCCTGTACAGTGAACTACACATATTTTAGATGTGCAGTTTGATGAATTTTGATACAAGTATCCACCAATGAAACCACCACCACAATCAAGATAGTAGTGTTTTTATTCTTTATAAAATAAAAATCATAGTGTTTCATTCACTTTACTCTCGTTTGAAAATATGCCATTATGCTTATTTGAACCTCCCACTTTCATTATAAAATTACTGACAATCATGTCTTCTAACTATTTTTCCTGTATAGGAATTTGGAGTGCCTCAACCTTCTGCTGAATACTGGTGCAGACTTCAACAAAAAGGACAAATTTGGGAGGTAGGACGTGATGCAGTTCCTCTGTAGAGCCTAAATAACGTTATTTACTTAATGACTTAATTGACTTCTGAGAGTTAATTGAATAATTCTGTGTCCTTTGCACTGTGATGACGATTTGTTGAGAGGCCCAAATAAGTCATAACTTCTAAAAATTCATTCTCACCCACAGTCTTCTTCCAGCTGGGCCCCTGCCACAGCCCAGGGCACCAGCCCCAGCTTGACCTTGTGAGCACTTCTGCACCTCCTAATCCACCCCGCCCCCAGTCCGGCCGTGACAGTGCCGAGCCCGTGGTGCCTGTGCTCCCGCGGAGGACTCACAAGGCTGGGGACTCTCGCACTTCCCCATTCCCTCAGGGCCTTCTTTGTCAGAGATGCTGCTGCCTGAGTCTGGTTCCAGAGCACTAGGGAAAGGGTGGGGGCAGGTTCCAGATTTCTGTGTGCTTCCTTCTCCTGTCTCTAACTCCCCGCGCACCCTGACCGGGAGTGCAAGGGAGCACTGTGGATGGTGGGGCCCCTCTGTAGTCACTCAGCCTGTCCTCATGCTCAGGGTTCAGCCCAGGCCTCACTAGGACTGGCATCTGTGATGGCAGGACTGAACACCACCGGTGTCTGCTGAGCACCTGGTGTGGGGACTGACCCAGAGTCTGGTAGAGCCACTGAGGGAAGGCACTGAAGGCAGTGTGAGTTGGTTTGAAAAATGGAGGTGAGCACACTGTAGTGTGTGCAGAATTTGAATCAAATGTTGTACACATGAGACTTATGTAATGTCATAAACCAGTATTACCTCCATAAAAAAAGAAAATGAAAAATAGAGGTGGCAATGTGAGCAAAACTTTATGTGACCAGAGTTTGAGAACTGTATCAGAGCATGTGACAAGAAAGGGTGTGGTGTGTCGGGGTGAGGCGCGGGGGTGCAGATGTCGCTAGTTACGTGCGGTCAGGAATCGGAAGCGCGTGTGGAAGAGAAGAAGCGCCGTCTGACCCCTCAGTGCTTTGAGCAACACACTGCCCTCGTAAGCCTGCTCGTCCGAGGAACAGATGACCCACAAAATCCAAAATCCCTTTGTTTGATTTTGGAATGCAGTATTTTTACAGCTAATTTATTTTTGTAAGCATATTCTAATCCAGCTTCTATTAATTGATTTGTAGTACTTGAACACAGGGCTTCTGAAGCCATTCTGTGTTCAGAAGCTTGAGAGTGAAGGCTAATGCATTTTCAAAAATACTATTGCTATACTCTGCTGTTATCCAGTGAAGCAAAATAGTGCTGTGCTGTCATTTCACCAGGCAAATGTTTTAGAAAAAAATTATGCCATGAAAACTCTAGACTTAAGTCTACCTTCACTTTTCTGTTGTCTTCTTCAATGAATAGTCATGGAATCATCACAGTTTTGTAATCTAAAGGCAAAAACTCCTAAATTCAGTAACATCGTTTCATTTCGGTAACTGGGAAGAAATCAGCTACAGATATTCAGTCTTGAGAAATTAAAACAGTACTCTAAGTCTTCTGCATGGTGAACAGTCTTCAGAACGATGTGTTTTCTGTGTGGGAAGTCTGACGTTACCAGGGAGCTCTGCCATCGAGTTGATGTAACAGCATCGTTTCTAATGCTGCTTTTTCTTCCCCTTTATTCCTCTCCTGAGACCAGACAGAAGCTGCTGCCTCTGTATATGACACATTTTTATCAGTATAGAGGAAGCTTTGTTAAAAGACAGTGTTCAGGTTTCGGAGCAGAACATGAAGGATGTCTATCATTCACTCAGACGACTGAATTGTTACCGCCTGGGCCCCAGGAAGGAATTAACTGTGTTTTTCTGTCTAATTTTGTGTTCTAAGAGGCTCCCTGCCATCTTCGTTTCCCCTCCTAGCTTTCTGTCCAGCCCTTGAAAGTCTTAGTATGAGGCAGAAGGCAATCCCAGGCTTGTTGTGAATACAGTATTTGTTGACTGGGTAGATCAGCTCTGCTCTTGTTTCCTAGTCTACATCCCTGACTTTTTTTTTTTTTTGTATTAACTTGGGCACGAAAGGTCTCCGCTGCACTATGCTGCTGCCAACTGCAATTACCAGTGCCTGTTTGCTCTTGTGGGGTCGGGAGCAAGCGTGAATGACCTTGATGAAAGAGGATGCACGCCCCTGCACTACGCAGCCACGTCAGACACAGACGGCAAGTGAGTGTCCCGTGAGGAGGGTGGGGGAGTATCATTTCTGGAGACCAGCGGCTTCCAAATGGACGCGATTTTCATAGCAATTTTATGTTTCTTTTTTGTGTTGTCTTTTCCTGAGTCTCTACTGTGGAAAGTAAGTTGGTTTCATAAACTCTTCTAACCATGGTTATCACTACCTATTTCTACTCAGCAGCCTGCCTTAGGAACTCATCAGGTAGAAGACAGATCGTGGTCCCTTCTCGTCCTCCCTGGGAAAAGCACATCTCTGTCACCTCTGTGCTTTCACCCTCCGACTTGTCAGAGGCGGCAGTCCTGAGAGTATCACAGGGGAAGGGAGAGCGATACAGGGACGGGGCCTTCAGAAGATTGGGCAGAGGTGGGATACCAGTGTCCTTCAGAGACGGAGAGTTCGTATTTCCAAGGGATGCTAGTAAATTGGTATCCAAATAAGGGGTAATTGAACTGGCAGAATCCAGCACATAGTTGGTACGCAGTATGGCTGAAATAAGCAAATTAGGTAATAGAGTAAGTAAATGTGGCCGAGAATGAATAAAAACAAAAGAATGAGAAATTTTTAAATTCTCTCATAATTAATATTTTACCTGGAGTTGATCAGACCCATTGATGGTGCTTTACTGTGCATTGCCCTCTCGGAAGAAAACGATCTCCGTGGAGACAGAGCAGAGCTTCAGCGTCTGGGCCAGTGAGGAGCACAAGGGCCCTCAGGAAAAGCAGATGATGGTTTCTGGGGAACAGTTGTAGAAAACAGACCTCAAGGAGGCTGCATTTAGCCTAGAACTATTTCTTTGGTTTTTAATTTTACTTTTTTACCCTCAAAATAAAAAGCATAATTTGATGGTACTGTTCACCAATATTAATTTATTATAAATTCTGTAACTCATTTCAAATCCATTTCTGTAAGTAACACTGTTATGTTGGATTTATGACTGAAATCCTCATCTTGAGATTGCTGATAACATGTACTGTCAGCCCTTGGAATCTGCTGGTTTTGTATCTGCAGATTTGGAGGGTTGGCTGTGTTACTGCAGGGCTCTGTCCTTGTACTGCGCCGTTTTTTTATAAGGGACTCGGAGGTCTGCAGTCTTTGGTACCCGTGGGCTCTCAGATATCCCCCTTGCATACTGAGGGATGACTGTTTTCTGTTTAATACAATTTATTGTATTAAACTTTATACAATTTCATATACACCAGAATACTTAGATATAGATAGATTTTGGGAGAAGTTAAATTATTTGAAGTATGTTTTTGAATAGTAGAGGTTTAAAGAAAATCTGTGATAAAGACTTTGTGAATTAGAAAACATTTTGTAAACTTGGGTAAGTAGATTATCCTCTGATTTATAAATTTCATAATTTTAGGATTTGATTTATAGGTTTTCTTAAAATAGGCTATACCTAAAATTACTACTACCACCAGATAGTCCGTTACCACCTTTCCAAGACATTTGGGTGTTGCTCAGCAAGGTCTCCATAAACCCCACCGAGGTGATATGCACACACATGCACAAAGAAATCTCCATGTGTCCTCCTGCCTTAGGTAATTACATGAAACCTGAATTCTTAACGCTAAACAAAAGAATATCAATATGCAACCCATAATGTTTGAGTCTGCGGTTTTATTTTAAGCCAGTCTTTTTCTTTAGAAGTATATGTAGTACGAAAGTGAATTAAATTATTCGTTTTCTTATGTAATATAAACTGTTTTGAGCAGTAGACTAGACATACTTATTATTTAAATACTTAGTTCTCAGTATCTGCACAGGCAGCCTGGTGTACAAGGAAGAACATGGCTTTGAGATCCAAAAGACCCAGTTTAAATCTCGGGGTCCTCACATTATACCCCTTTGAGCCTGAGCAAGTAATTGTTAAGCAAAAGCTTCTTTATCTGTAAAATTAGAATGAAACCTACTTTTTAGACTGGCGGGAGGTGGTTGACTGAGATCATGGGTATAAAAGAATCTAGCACTATTTCTTGGAACCTCTTTCTTATCTTTAAAGTGTCAGAATCCCAGAGGTCTTGTCTAATGCCATCACTTATTGACTTAATGATTGGTTCCCTAGGAAACTTCTGGAAGCTGGAAGCCACCATAACCATTGTAGGATACCAAAGGCATCCTTTCAGTACGTGATTGTTTGAGGACTAAATAGTAGAATTAAAGAGTCGGTTTATTTTTGTAAACTCCAAGGATTTAATTCCCAGGCATAGCTTGGATAATAAGAGAATCTGGAATAATTAAGTCATACTTTTGCCAAAGCAAGACTGAAATATTTTCTAAAAGAAGAAACAGATTCTCCATAGCTTCAAAGGGCTGGTACCCAGTGATGTGTGTTGGTTTGTTTTTTATTTATTTGTGGTGGTTTTGTTTTTAGGGTTATTTTTTTAATGACTGATAATGTCCTGTCAGCATCCCCAGGGAAAGTTGCATTCTTTTTGGAGTGTTTGACATTCTGCCATTGGTTTCCTGCTGTTCATAAGTGACATAAGTAATTAGAGCTCTCCTCTGCCTTGTGTCCCTCTGTCCTTATTTTTGGCAAATATAGGAAAAATACATGAAATCTTTCCTGACTCGTTCTGCTCGTTCTGCTAGTCACCCATCATCCTGGTGCCTCATTCTCTGTAGACAGTCATGACTCAGCAGTCAAGTATATGGTTGCTATCCCAAGAGAAATGTAGCAAATGTATGAAATATTATTGAATAAATTTCCTTTTGCCTTTTGAAGAGAAGAGGGCTGGCTTTGAGCACGACAGAGACTCTGCCCCATTTCTGTGTGGTGTGTAGCAGAAGAGAAGGCTGGGGTGGGTTTTCCTGGTTCTGTATGAGGAAGAAGTCCTCCTGGTGGTGCCTTCCCTTCTGCAATAATCACCATTAACACGTGTATTTTGACACATGTGTAACTCACCCTGTGTCCCTCCCAGTGTAATCGGAGGCACAGGGCTGGTGTGTGTCTGTCCACAGCCTTTTCTGTGTTCACATAGTCGTATATAAATGTGTCCATGAATGTAAAGATGTGTTCCACTGAGATGCGCTTTTATGAAGATGGTTGGCATTCTTCACAAAAAATGCATTCTTATTTTGACTTCCAGTAGCATTGTTTATTTTCCTGTTTTTAACTTCATATAACTGGAATCATACAGTTTTTTGTTTAGAACTTTTATAATCCTTAGATTTATTCCTCAGTACTGGATATTTTTGGCAGTAAGCCAGAATAAATGTCTAACTTCATTGTGAAATTGCAAAATACATTTGATGTTCATATACGACTTTTTGTTAAGCAGCCTTGTTAAACCCGTCTCGTGTATGTGTGTAAGACACCTTTGGATTTGATAGCAGCTCTGCCACTTGTGGTGGGACCTTGGGCAGGTCACTTAACCTCTGTGCACACTTCATTTGTGAACTGGGAATAGCAGTCTGACTTCACTCCCGTGGCTGAATGAGGTACAGGATATCTGAATTGCTTAGAACAACGCTTGGCATGTTGTAAGCAGAGTTAGGAGGGCCTCTGGTGACCATGGTCCTTCTTCAGGGCACTGACCGGTCATGGGACACATGGGTTTGAGTCGGTCTGCACTTGCACCAGAGAAGGTGGTCACAGTTCCTGGGCGGTAGGGGAAGAGGAGAGGTTTAAGTAGTGTGAAAGTCACCCTGATTTAAATTATAGGTCTAATTGGTTTGGGGATACTTAATTTGTTTAACAAATGAAGAAAACCAAATATTTAACAGTAAGTATGGTTTATCACTCAGATATTTAGCAATACATACTCCTCTAGATTTTTGCCTATGTAAGTTTATTTTAGGGGGAGGAGAGAGATTATAGAGACATTATCTTTGTTTCTTAATTTTCCGAGTTTTATAAAAATGAGCATTTGTGAACTTACAATGAAAAGGAAAAAAAAATTGGATTGACTCTGCCCCCTCCACCGTATTTGCAAATTAAAACTGAGGTCCAGATTTTCAAGATGAAGCAATTCTGTGATTCAGTATTTTATGTGCACCCCCTCTCACTCCCTAACCCCTGGGCTGGAGCATTTGGTCGCATGGAAAGACCACTAGATGAACAGAAGGCCTGAGGTCTTGTCCTTGCTTTACCGTATTCCAGCCAACAGATTGTGAGCAAGTCATTTAATATCCTGAATCTCAGTGATTTTTTTTTCATTTGTTAAAGATAATGCTCACAAAGTCATTAGGAAAATTCATACTGCTTAGCAAGATCCAAAAGGTGTGCCTGTAGAAGTAATTCTGTAATGTAAATCGGCTCTCAGTCTTTGTCTTGTTACAGGAGACCAGTCATCTAGTAATGTGAATGTAAATGGTTAAATTATTTTAGACCGTCTGATGCTGTGTCCTTGTGGCTGGTCGCTGTGTTTGCGGCTTGCTCTCCCACTTCGGAAAGTAAACATGAACTTACCTAGCTTGTTTTGCTTTCCTTAAATAAATCGTTTTTTCAGTACTCATATATCAGCAAGTTATCTTAAAATAGTTTGTTCCACTGATAGAATCTGTCTTGCATTCCAGCCTCAGTAAGGAGAGCTGTTTCCGTTTTATCATTCACATCAAGGGAAGTTGATTAAAGATAAAAAGATAAGCCCTTGGCTGAACTGTTTGTGGCTGTGAGGCAAAGAGCCTGTCCTCCCAGCCCAGCCCAGGGAGCATTGACCTCAGAGCCGGGCACCCAGGATGCTGTATACAACAGGCTCTGTACACTGCTGCACACTTCTGAAGTGCTTTTTGAGCTAGGCTGGGGACACTGGAAACACCAGTCTTGTTCCTTTAGAGTCACATTTGAGTGGTGGTGTTTTATCATGGTGGCACCCAGTTCATCATGTTTGCCTATGTTTTCTTCTAAGAGGTTTATAGTATCTTGTCTTACATTTAAGTCTTTAAGCCATTTTGAGTTTTATTTTTGTGTGTGGTGTGAGGGAGTGGTTTAACTTCATTGATTTACATGCGGCTGTCCAGTTTTCCCAACACCACTTGCAGAAGAGACTGCTTTTCTCCATTGTATATTCTTGCCTCGTTTGTTGAAGACAGTTTATCATGTTTAACTAATGATTTTAGCTTTGTATAAATATCAAAATCCTGCTCAAAAGGGTGAACATTTGCTACCACTGAGGATATCATAATAAATGTAGATTCTATAAGTAATTTCTAGGAGATCTAAAGGATTTTAAACCAGGTCAGCATTAAAGAAATAAGGGTGGGCATTGAAGAGTGGTCCTTATATATGTGATGGGATTACTGAGATCAGTGCTCAGAGTTCCTTCCACTTGTTTTTATGTAACTTGCGTATGCGTCTGGAAACTCGACAAGGAGCATGTGATTATGGATTCCCCCTGCCCCTCCCCCGCCCGGTAGTGGAGTTTGTGTTCAGTTAGATGTATTGCAGCATTAGAGAATTATCACTGAATAATCGTGGATTTGGAATGTGAACATGATGGCTTTCAGATTATTTAGTTGAATTCCTACCCCCATCTATCAGATGAATAAACAGAAACCATTTCACCATAAACATGGAAGGATTTGCCTAAGATCACTGGTATCAGACTAACTCTAGAGATAAATCTTTTAATTTCTAATTCAATACTTTTTCTTGCTACAGTAACAATGAAGTTTGTCAAAATTATAACAAATTGTGAACCTTATTGACCTTTTACAATGTGGAAGTGTGTCTCCCACGGGAGGCTCTGTCTTGTTCCCTGCACACCACTGCGCACTGTCCACACACTCTGTCCTCTGCTTCACAAGCATTGCATCTGACCTTGGCTTCCTGAGATTTCTACATCCTTCCTTGAGCTTCCTAATGAGATCCCATACTTCCTATGTGTTCTAGGTGGATTGGATGCTCCCCCGACCAGGAGGGCAATCCTGTCAAACATTGTCTCAGTGCAGTAGGTGGTGTCAGAGAGTGACCCGGTCCACGACAGCCTTCGGGTGGGCTGAGCTGCTGATGGACCTGGAGGGGTCCACTTGAAATAAAGAAGATTCTCTCCTGCGCATTTCCCATTTGTTTATGATAACTTACTGTTAGTGTTATTTAAATGGCAAACTTACGTAGTATGGCTATATTTATGATTTTTTACATTACTCACGTGTAAGAAAATGACCAGTCTTTAGTTTGTCTCTGTTTTCATCATTGGTTAAAATGCAGGATTTATAATTCTAAGTATGTGTTGCTGTAATAGGTGCCTGGAATACTTACTAAGAAACGACGCAAATCCAGGGATCCGGGACAAGCAGGGGTACAACGCGGTCCACTACTCAGCCGCTTACGGCCACCGCCTGTGTCTTCAGCTGGTGAGGCTGTTGGGTTCCTGCGGGGGGTGGCGGGGGGCCAGGAGGGGGTTCTGCGCTGACGGTGTAGGAAAGTGAGAACAAGGAAGCAGGAAACAGATGCCATTGCTTTTCAACTTGTTTAGAATCCCCGTACCTCCTAAATTCATATGTGCCTCATTAAGTTTTCTCTCATTCCCTTTTTCACAAGGAGAGGAGAGAGGAGAAGGTGAGCTCCCTGGGGAGCACTGCTGGGCCCTTCCCTTAGAGGCCCTGTGCCCATGCAGCATTACCTCCCTGGCCGCTTTATGTTCTCCAGAAGGGTCTGAAGAGCTGTAACTTTGTCGTGTGGGAGACATAAACGTCCCTGTGAGGGGAAGGGTCCCCCTGTGTATTTGGAGCCCTGAAAGGCCGCATCTTTTAGCAGTCTCTCCTGACAAGGGAGACCCATCTTCTGCCAAGGAACTTTTTATTTCAGTTGTGGTCTCATTCTTGAAAATACACCATTCACCCCACTTTGCCAAACCAAAGGAAACTAAAAGACATGTTCAGTCAGTCTCAAGTGTGTAGCAGATGCTTCAAGTTGGAGATTTCTTCATTTTGACTTAATTATATTAACATTGTGTCCCTTCAAGGGGAAATAAAACTCAAGGAGAGTGGGTATAAAAGCTAGAAAAAGGAGGTTGACATAGTCAATATAGCATTTAGAATCCTGCTACAGAAATAAGGTTAGGTTATTGTGGTATCTTTAGACTAAAATCTTAGGCCCACGTATATAGATTTGTGGTCTATTATATTGTATGATTGTTTATTTGAAAGACTTAATTTTTGGAGGCAAAGGAGACAGAAGTTGAGAAGAGTTTAACAAGGCTCTATAACTAGAGACATGCAGTTAACATTTCTCCCTTTACTGTGCACGAACACTTCCTCATCTAAATTTTCTTTAAATTTTGTTTCAGATTGCAAGTGAAACTCCTCTAGACGTAGTAAGTATTAGTCAGTGTCCCCCCACAGTTCAGGGTATTGTCGTTACTTACTTGCTCTCCCTGGAGCTGAAGCCTGCTTTATACGTGCCTGGGGACAAGGTAGTGACGGGGAGGGAGGTTCTGACCTGGTGGTCGCGAAATCACGTCCCCCGTAGACTCTGAGTTTATAGCCCTCCCTCAGAGCTCTCCGTCTGTGATCTTACCACACTTTGGGATCATCTGTTCTACAAGCTTGCTGAGTTTAGTTTTCATAATACAATGGTCTGGGATTTGTAAATTCATATTCAGGTATCAATTTATACCCTAAAATGAACTTGAACTTGGGGGAGGGGGCCAGGGAATTAACTGCTCTGGCGTCTAAAAGTATCATTTCTGACATTTTCTCTCTCAGTTAATGGAAACCTCTGGCACAGACATGCTGAATGACTCAGACAATAGAGCAACAATAAGCCCTTTGCACTTGGCCGTGAGTACTGCCTTCACAGCCAGCGTGATGGCTGCTTCCTGAAAATGTCTCCTGCCTATTTGTGGTGACTCACCCTAATGCCCAGAACTTTGGGTCCTTATAATGATGATCATAGAATTAAAACTGTAAGACCTTTCTTAATTCAGAGAATTCTTCCATGTACTTTTGTTTTATTTAAAAAAAAAAGGTCTTTGAGCTTCCCCTGCTCTCAGGAGAGACGGTGCCTGTGCTGTGAATTTTAAAATGACCTGCCCGAGCAGAGTGGCTTCTGACTTCTTAAGCAGATGATAAAAGAACTATAATTTCTGTGGTATTTCTACAACTTTGCTTACTTTGTGACTTTGCGGTGCTGACGATGTGTGTGCGTGCTGGTTCTTCATTGCTTGTGGGATAGGATTTAGCTTCATCATCTCCAGTGACCCTTCCATCTTAAGATGCCTCTGGACCCCTCCCTTTAATGCCCGTCGTGAGAGGAGATGGTTTGAAGAGGGTGTGACAGCTCTCTAAGTTAAATGTGGGAAGGAGTTACCTCAGGAAGTTTCAAGCAGAGCCCAGTCCAGTTCTTCCTGTGCTGAAAGAAGAATTTATTTTTGAAACAAAGCATGTTGTAAGGGGGCGGGGGGCACTTTGAGAATCAGGAAAATTTGTGAGCCCTCTGATTTGAAGTCTAGCAAGACGCCTGTAAAGGTCTGTACTGCAGTCACCATGGATCATTGCGAGTTCAGGACCCACTGCAGTTCTGCTCACGTGCCCTGCGATCTTCATCTTAATGTGCTCCTGGCATCCTTTCTAACACTGCCCCGTGTGCATGGAATTTTCTGCTTTGTCTTGCTGCCACTTCCTCCCCAGCCACACTTCCTGTAACTGAGGAGGCGTGATGAAGGGTCCCGCTCCCTTGCCCTGTGGGTTGTTGGAAGTGCTGTCTCCTCTCCATACTCACATGAGGGCGCGGAGTGGGAAGCCGCGGTCACTGGGAGAGGCCGGAGGGCTCTGAGCAGATGACGCGGCGCTTCCTCTGCTTCGTCTTCTCCGTCACCTCACAATCAGGAGCGCTGTGGCTTCTCCAGCATTTACTCGGGCCAGACTGTGCGCTTGGCCGCGTTTTGGTTACATTAACTCAAACCTTTAGCTTTGTGAACTAGTTGTTTGCTCCCTGGCTGCTGTGAACAGTGCTGCTGTGGACACAGGCGTGCTCAGTAGTGTTGTTAAGCTGAAGGAAACCGTTTCGTGATTCCATCGCTGGGCTCAGTGAACTGTCGGCACGCCACCACGTGGGCACTTTGAATCGATCCCTAGGGGTTTTCGGAAATTACTTGAAGTGACTTTTTCCTTCCAAACTCTCCCAGCCCAACTGGCTGGAGGCCTGAGGACACTGGGCAAGGTTCCCGCCCTCTCACAGCCCTCCTCTCCGCCTGTCACAGCTGTCCCCCAGAGGGGAGGCCCCAGGGACAGATCATCCTGGCTCTAGTCATCTTGTTCCCCCTCTTTCTTGTTATGCTGTCTTCTGCGTGACTCTCACAGGTCATGTTTAGACGCACAGCGTTGTTGACCTGATCTGAGGAACTGGGTTAGAGGTGCCCCCGGTCGCCCAGCCTTGCAGGGAGGCACAGAACAGTCTGCGCTCAGTAGGCCCCGGAGCAGCTCCCCCACTACCAGACTCCTGCTGGCTTCCCCCAGGGGGCGCTATACAGGCCCTGATGCCGTGTGGGGCCCTCTTTCTAGCTGAGTGTCTTTTTTTCAGATTAGAAGCCGGTGACATTTAGGTCAAATATGGTTGATTTTTATGTTTTTCGGTTCCTGGTGACAAGTTCACCTGCAATAACTTACAGTTTGCCTGTAGGTGCTGAGTGGCAGGTCTGAGTGTATCAGAAAACCGCTGTGAAAGTCTCTTGGCTGAGGGAGTGGCCAGAGTGAGCTAGGGAAGCCGTTCCTTTCCCACCAGAGCTGGGTCTTGCTGTTCCTTATGTCCCACGCAGCACCCAGTCCAGTGAGAACAGACGTTCAGTTGACGTGCTGGCTTCTGAGATGAATTATCTGGAAAGTCCCTTTATCAGGCTGTAAAGAAGTGGGTGTCAGTCGGGTTTCAGGCAAACCTTCAAATCTTCCTGCTCTTGTTGCACAACGCGGACGGTGCCTGGCACACGGCAGTTATTCACACAGGGCTCAATCTAAATATTTGTGTGTGAAAAGAAATGTTTATTTTAAGATATGGCATGTTATGGGATGGGGTAGTCATTTTAATTTGAGAAATTAGAAGACTTGGGTACTGGCTTAACTTCAGTTGCCAGCTGTCTCTGTGATTTGAGCAGAGTAAAATTTGTGTGTACACACACACAGACACACACACATATGGAGCTGAGTGGGAAATGAACTGTGATTAAGAACACGGACTTTGGAATCTTAGAATGAAGGCTTTAATTGAATCCAGGTTGCACATCCATTGACTGTCTGCCATGAACCAGACACTGTGTACTCACAAAAAGACCTCCTGTCATCTGAACCGTTTCTACTTGCAGAACACCCATTCCCTAATGCCGTAGCCTACTGTTGGATTATTAGAAAAACTTATAGTTAACTTTCTTAATTATCAGTGTAGAAGTTGTAGATTATCTCAGGTACAGTGACATGAAGACAAGCTTGCTTACTGCTCCCTTTATGTTTCCTAGGGTATCAGGGGAAGTCAGTCTGATCGTGTATGTTTTTCATTTATGTTTGTATTTGGCCCCAGGCCTATCACGGTCACCACCAAGCCCTGGAAGTGTTGGTGCAGTCTCTGTTAGATCTGGACGTGAGAAACAGTAGTGGAAGAACGCCCTTGGACCTCGCAGCATTTAAGGGACACGTGGAATGTGTGGATGTCCTCATCAATCAGGGAGCCTCGATCTTAGTGAAAGACTACATTCTGAAGCGAACACCTATCCATGCGGCCGGTATGTCAGATGCTGTGCGTGATTCTGTTTACCACTTTCCACCTCATTCTTTTCTCTTTCAGTTTCTGGTATATTACACCCCTGGTGATTGTTTTAGCAACTCTGACTTTAAAAATTCTATTCATTCTATTCCTGGAAAAGTCAACAGACTATAATCACCTTAAAAAACTATTATCTACCTTAGAAATTGGACGTATATAATAGTCTAACTTCTGGAGTACTTTATCAACAACAAAAAAAATGCAGAACTTTTTACTTCTTTTTGGGGGAAATTATTTTGGGTTGATATGTGGTTTCATCTAACAGTTGTGCTCAGTGCACACTTGAGCAGACAGGCGTGTGGTGCGCCTGCCTCCTGTGAGAACCACTCCATGACATGGCCATGTCAAAGTGCAGAGTCTAACCACGCTGTCGCGGTGACAGTACCCACCAGGTGTCCCCCGCTCACCATGGGGGTTACTGCGCGGCAGTGCTCACTTTGAGTCATGACTCCGAGACTGGAATACCTGAAGAAATGCTGCTCAGGCATCTGTGTCGTCCCCAGTGGGCCATCTCCGAATGACTAGATTATTTCACTTAGTCTGTTTGTACAGAGCGATCCTTGAGGACTCATTTGACCTCACGTCATCAGGAAAACGTGCAATTTAGAGGGCTGGGAAACTAACACCCGCTGTGGCCCCGGAGCAGCCTTGCAGAAGCTGTCTGGTGTTCAGGCGGGCCTCAGAGGCAAAAATTTTGATAACAGATTAAAAGTACTAATAAATGTATGTATATAAACTGCTATAATGCTAAAAATAAGAAGTCAAAGTGCCATCGTTTTCTGTTACTTTATTCTGAGAAAGCGTAAAGTTATACATCATTCTGCAGCTTGAAATATTGCACTATAAGCACGTTACTTGCAGAGCTTACTTAAAGCTTTTGTGGAGTGTTTGCCCTCTTCATGGATGAATATTGGAACCAAGACGTCCGTGAGCCCCTCAGAACTGGCTGACCAATGCCGATACTTGATAAGTCCTGTCCACTGAAAGAGTTTCAGGGTTCCGTTAGCACCACCTGTTCAGTGAACGTGAGCCTGGTGTCTCTGGACGCCTTCCACATTGGGAGGTCTGCCCGGGTGACACTTACCCCAAGTCATGAAAAGGACACTGAGTTTTTTTGAGGTGAACCTGTCTTTTCCCACAGGGTTATGCCTGATGTTTGGGTACTTAGCTTAGACAATACACTCACAAGTAGCTGCCGTGTGCCCAGGGTCAGTGAATCCATAAAAAAAGAATGAGCCAAACAGAACATGCTTGTAGCATCCCCAAGGATCACGTCTGAAATCAGGAAGAAGGAGGACTCATTGTCAGGGATAAAAATATTTCCCAGAAGCTCTCCAGACTTCTTAACGTCTCAGTGGGCAGAACTTGAAATCGGTCACTGCAGAGAGGACTGGACTTGATGTCACTGACTTGGTCTCCTCATGATTTCATCCCTGGCTGGAGGCAGGCCACCCCCCGACCACACTGCTGCCACCAGAGAACTAAGCTGAATGAGTGTCTATAGGCAGGGCAGGTGTGAGTGCTGGCTGAGGTCCTGATCTGCTGTGAGGAACTCATGTCTGTTCAGTTTTATCATCAAAGGCAATAGAAATCTTTGTGTCTATAGATACTTTTCTTTGTTGCCTGTAAAATTCAGTGAATGTGCCAAAATTGTATCTAGAAAATGTGGTCTAAGATAGATATTTTCATTTTTTTCATTATATATAATTGCTGAAATTTTAAAATATCACTTTACAGCAACAAATGGTCATTCGGAATGCTTACGGCTACTGATAGGAAATGCAGAACCACAGAACGCAGTAGACATTCAAGATGGGAACGGACAGTAAGTGTTAATACTTGTTAGGTTATTTGGGGATATGTGTTCGTCTTCATACCTTGGCCCCTCTTTGAAGTAAGTCTGTCGCCCTGTGAGTGAGAAACATCAAACACCGCCCTTCAGGCACACTTTAAAGTCACACCACCAAGAGGACATGCTGGGTTCTCGTGGGCGGTCTGGGTGATGACACTGAACGTGTCCCTGTTACTCAGGACCCCGCTGATGCTGTCTGTTCTCAACGGGCACACGGACTGCGTCTACTCACTGCTGAACAAAGGAGCCAGTGTGGATGCCAAAGACAAATGGGGAAGGACGGCCCTGCACAGAGGGGTGAGCGGACACATCCCCACTCCTTTCGGAGTTGTTGTACCTCCGTTCACCTAAAACTGAAGTAGGCTGTCTTTACAGTTTCCTTCGTTAAATTTTTACCAGATAATCTTTACTGTTTACTTCAGTTTCTTTAAACAACCACAAAGCTCAATCCAGAGAATAGTCACGTTGGAACAAAATCTTTAAAACTCTGAAACCTTGAGTAGAATTAATGTCGGTATTACTTTTTTCCATTATCACAACTGTGTTCTTATACATTTCTGTCTTAACTCTTTGACCTTTGAAATAATATTTTCATTGAATTCGAAGTTCCTCTATTCCTGTTGTTCCTATGACTTTTGTTTTGACAGAGTCAAAATAAGCAAGTTCCAGGACAAATACTGGGTTACTCAGGAAATGATAAATGCCTTAGTTGGTGGGAGGATGGGGCATGCGGACTTTAGAATTCCTGATCAGCTGTAATTGGCATGTGGTGCCCGACATAGTGCATTCAACTCCCTGCAAACAATCTTTCTCTCAGGCAGTCACCGGCCACGAGGAGTGCGTGGATGCGTTACTTCAGCATGGTGCTAAGTGCTTGTTCCGAGACAGCAGGGGCCGGACACCCATACACTTGTCAGCTGCCTGCGGGCACATCGGAGTGCTCGGGGCCCTGCTGCAGGCGGCGGCCAGCGCGGAGGCGAGCCCAGCCCTGGCTGACAGTCATGGCTACACGGCGCTGCACTGGGCCTGCTACAATGGTTAAGTATAAGCGTTCAAGCTCCAGTAGGTGCCTGGGACGTGCCGAGGAGAGACGGCGGGCTGGGTCACAGCGGTGTTTGCGGGAAAGTCTCATTTATCAGGCAGACATGCCGTTTAAGAGCGCAGGAAAGTCTGGGGACAATCCCCCCATTAAGGGCCACTCCCGTCCCTTGTGCTGAAGCAGGAGACTAGTCACAGGTGTGTGAGATAAGTGATCACTAAGGTTAAGTGTTTTTTAGACCTTTGCTTCAATACATATTTTGCATTTTTAAGATACTTGCTTTGAAAAAACAAGTATAGTGGCTGTTCTGACGTTCAGCTGACTGCCTTCCCTGAGAGATTTCTGTCTTCGCTGGGAGCCGTTTTGACAGATAATTGTTGAGTTAGGGTAAAGGAGGCGAAATTGGAATCTTGCAAAATTACAGTTTAATTAAACGTTTTCATTAGCATTTCTAGATACAGTGTTTCGATGTTCACGTTAACCCTTTTGTTGGGGTAAAGAGTTCTTTTCTTTTGTGCTGAGCACATTTTGTTCTCTCCTTGAGGATTGTCCTGTGGTTACTTATTTTTCAACTGAGTACCGAGGGTTCCGTAGAAAACTTGAACAGTTAAATATATTGCTAATTCAAAAGCTTAGTTCTGTCAGTTTTATTTTTACTACCTCAGGTCCTTAGCCAGAACAGTTTTGAAAACTGCAAAACCGTTGCATTTCCACTCTTTTTTTCATTTTCCAGCTCAGTAAAGTAGGTATTTAATGAACATAGCAAAATAGTCAAAGAGTAGTCCTAAGTCAAAGAAGATACTACATTTTGCCACTGAAATCCGGTTTGTCTTTATAATGTAACTTGACATCTTACAAGTGTAAGGAAAACCAAAAACATCTTAATATAGTAGGAAAACATCCACAGATGTGAACTTTAAGACGTCAGTGAGATAAAACTGTTTTGAAGCAGACTTTCCTTGGTTCTTTTCAGTTTTAAATGTAACAGTGAGAATTAACCATTGGAAAAATCAGACAGTAAGGTATTTTTGTCAGGTGGAGCATTTAGTTGTGGAACTGCTGCCGGAGCCCTCCTTCAGAGAGCTACTGCTTGTCACAGCATCCCATCAGGGCTCTGCGGAGAGCTCTCCTCCCGCGATGAGTGCCTGCTCTGTCACTGCCGAACTTAGACTCTCTGAGCACGCTGTGTACAAGAGACAGAATTTTGCACAAATTGCGCGCTTGGTTGCCATTTAAAGATCATAATAGGTGCATCTAATTTCTAGGCTGTAACAGAGCTGTGACGGTCCTGAGCTGAGCTGGACTGAACTAGCTGTGTGCTGACTGACACAGTAAGGGACTTTACAGGCCATCTAAGATTAACGCCGAGTTTATAGCCAAAAGCCCGTTAGTTATATAAGTTGGCATTCTGAGGGTCAAATATATAAATGGTTTTACTTTGACTAGTGGTCACTGTGCAGCCGGAGTGAGAACGGGAAGTGCTCCGACAGAGCAGAGAACAGCCTTCCTCTCAACACGGAGCGATGGCCGTCTTAGAAGGGAACTGGCTGTCCACACTAACGTGAGAGTTCAGAGTTTCAGTTTCTGGAGTCATGCAAGCACAGAATTTAAGAATGCTTACATTATCTCATATGTTCCTGTTAAAATTCTAATCAGTTTTTATGAAGCTATAGTCATCTTCAGAATCTCTCTCTAAAGCATGAAGAGACCAGTAGTTTTGTCCTTTTAAAACTAAGATGCAAGGTGGAGAGTTTTTCGGTCTGATGTGCCGAGTGATGGCTGGAGGGGGTCCTGGCCCCAGGACTGTGGGTTACAGTGATTATATTGACTGTATTGGAGATAGAACTGAGAAATGTAAGGGTATTTATTAATTTATTTTAAAATAATAAATCCATTAAATGTTAATATATATAGCATTTTTATGAAAAATAACTACTTCCCCTCCCCAGAATTAGCGCTAGAGTAGCAAATTTGTTTGATGGCTTATTTAAGAGGAGGGCAGTGTGCAGTGTCACCCTGCAGTCCCCCAGACCACACCATGAGAACGGTTGCTCCAGGACTAAAGAGGGGACTCGAGTCAGTACTGGACGACTTTCCTCAGTGACTTCTTGGTAATGAGTTCACGTTTGGAGGAAGAATTAAAACAGATTTTTTGGACCTCAGCACTGTCGACATTTTTGGGTCAGAGAATTCCTTGCTGGGAGTGACTGTCGAGTCCATTGCAAGGTGCTCTGCAGCAGCCTGGCTTCCACCCACTAGACTCTTTCCCCGGCCCCTCACCCCACGCCCCCCACCCCAGCTGTGACAGGCAGAAAGCTCTGGATGTGGCCCGACGGCTCGCCAGGGCTAACGTCGCCGCAGCTGAGGACCACTGGGTGGAGGAGCTGACAGATTGTGGAGCAGATCTTAGGTTTCCTAAAACTTACTTCCTTTTCCTGGTAAAGTGATAACAGGACGGAGGTTAAGTTGAAAGGTTGTTTGAGAACGTTAGCATAATTAAAACAGAAATAGAGCGTCACTTGGTCAGCCAGATACTGAGCCATGGAAATAGGCTCTGAAAGAATCTGATTCCTCACGCAGATCTCAAATGACTGATGAAATGAAACAAGCAACATTTCATTTGCTATAATTAATACTGCAGTTGAGGTACTTTAACTAAAACCCTGGCTTTGAAAATAAAGTTAAGAAAATGTGAGATCTGGGTTTTCCCCTGTTTTCAAAGTTGCTGTTAAAAACTGTGGGTCTGATACCTACTCATAATCAATATACTTGTCCTTTAACCCAGAAATATCATTTCTAGGAAATTGCTCCTAGGGATACAAAAATAAACACTCATTTTAAGTATTGGAGTGTTTCATTTACAACACTGTTAATAATATGACAAAGAAAAACAAATCAGCAGTCACCTCAAAATCCGAGAGATTAGAGATTATGTCCTTTAGGATACACTCTGATACTGTGAACGTCTTCCAAACCAACAAGAAGATTTCTACATATGCTGTTATGGAAGGATATACACAGTTTACGAAGTAAAAAACAAGTTGCAGAAGAGCATTTGTGCAGATTTTAAAGGGAAGCGTGTGTTTGTGTGCATGCAGTTGTGTGTGCCTGAGAACTTTCTGGAACTCTGAGGTAATACTGGTTTACCGTCTGGAGAGTGGAACTGGGACATGGGGTGGGGACAGGGACAGGTACTTTTTTCCTCTAAACACTTCTACAGAATTTGAGATTTTACCATAGCTTGTTACTATAATCAGAAAATATTTAAATTTTGGAGTTAATTATGCTACATAAATATACTATTTTGGAAGTTATACTATGCTGTATAAATAGGGCATTTTAAAAACTAATGACCTTTCTGCCGATTTCTGATTTGTAGTTTCTTTCTTGAATAAAACACACATTTAAAAAAACAAAACAAAAATAAAACTAATGACTAAATTGCTCTAACCCGTCACCATGGAAAAAGAATAAGGAGACTATTTTTGCCCACAAAGTAAATATTTGCCATGTCAATAATACCCTGCTGTAATGCGCTTCAGGTCTCGAGGTTGCAGTTCGGGTTCCAGAGTGCCTGAAGGTGGTGTTTGATGGGTTCCATGAATGGATTCTTTTTAACCCACGTAAAGCTTTCCCTTATTTGCGTAGGGACATGTAGGTGTGTATGGGCACTCTGGGACCTTTGTTTTTTCTTTTAATGTCTGACTCTCGCTCGCTCACTCAGGTCACGAGACGTGTGTAGAGCTCCTCTTAGAGCAGGAAGTTTTCCAGAAGATGGAAGGAAATGCTTTCAGCCCGCTGCACTGCGCTGTGTAAGCCAAGGCGGGCCGAGCAGGGGTGGGTGCGCGCTGCAGACATGCCAGTGCCCAAAGTGACGGCCTGTCCTGTCACCTTCGCCTTCGCAGGATCAACGACAGCGAAGGCGCCGCTGAGATGCTCATCGACTCGCTGGGCGCCGGCATCGTAAATGCCCCGGACGCCAAGGGGAGGTGGGTACTGCCAGGGGGACACCCCGCCCTGCCCGCACCTCCTGGACTAGGAGGAGATTTAAAGAGGACCCGTTACTGATTAAAAGTTGATTTTTATGTTTGCAAGTGTAAATTGTCACCAAATCTTAACTACGTTCTCCTTACGAAAGACTTTTCTATATGATTTTCAGCCAGTCTTTTCAAAACCTGTTAAATACAAAGATTTCCCTTTTTTAAAAAAGGGGGTATGTTTGTTACCCTAAGCTTATTTTTAATATCAAGTTAACAGTTTGCTAAAGAGGAATAAGGCGGGGGAGTGGCCAGCAGTTGTAGATAGTAGTATGGTTGGTCAGGATTTACTTCTTTCAAAATTCCCTTTAATGATGTGATTTAGGGGATTTTATTTATATTACTTTAATTAAGAGCCTTTTATACTACGAGAAATAAAAAGTTTCTGTGGCAGGAATCAGATATGTAGGCAGGCAATGCTATTTAGCCTCAGACATAAGCCCTGGAGAATTGCTTGTCATAAATTAAGAGAATTGTCTAGAGTAACGAGCGAGAGATCTAGCCCGGCCTCCCCGCATCTGTGCGCAGAACCCCGCTGCACGCGGCCGCCTTCACAGACCACGTGGAGTGCCTGCAGCTGCTGCTCAGCCACAACGCTCAGGTCAACGCCGTGGACTCCTCGGGGAAGACCCCGCTCATGATGGCTGCGGAGAACGGGCAGACGAACACAGTCGGTAAAGAAACGGGCCACGGCCCTTGTTCTGAGTGTGCGTGTTGCTGACGTGTGGTTCAGATCCCAAGCCACCTGACTCTGGTTCTCTGACTTCGCGAGTTTTCTCACCACTCCTGAGGTTTCACGCCTCCCACCTCTGCTGACAGCCGCATGCGCATTTGTGCTTCCTGGTGGGAGCGCCTCCTTCGCGGGGCCGAGGACAGTGCCTGAGACCCCGGCTCTGGAGTCGGACTGACTGTGAATCTTAGACCTGCCAACTCAGTGACTTTATGCCTCAGGGTTTTCATTTACAAAGTGAGCAGAATAACAGAAGCCACTTTGCAGGGTGGTTGTGAGGGGTCAGTAAGTCACTGTAAAGGCAGAACACTTCCAGCCGTGTGTGGAACTGGGCGGGCATCCACAGAATGAATGCTAGCTGCTGTTCATGCCTGTTACTCACACAGCAATACGACAGTGCAGTATACACCTTTGTATTAGTATGTATTTTCTTGCGCTTAAGTTTTTGCTAGAGGGATATTCTTTCTGTCTTCATTTCTCTACAGTGAGTTGTTAGTAATGAGATACATATTCATAAACAAAAGAGCTGACAGAGTTTTTCCTCCCAGAGATGCTGGTGAGCAGTGCTAGTGCAGACCTGACTCTGCAAGACAGCAGTAAAAACACCGCGCTCCATCTGGCTTGCGGCAAGGTACGTGCGCACTTCAAGGGTGTTTTCACTGTTAATATCAACAGCGGCATTTAAAGGTTTTCCACTTGACTGAAATGAGCAGAGATAGGGACCAAACTTCTCTAATAACCATTGGCATCAGATTTGTTGGGGAAAAAACACTGACATGTTAAGCACCGTGATACATGGACGTTTCCCATCAGCCAAGTAAGCTGTGGAGCACAAGCCTAAACGTAATTACTGCCTTTCTCTCACCTCTCCGATCTTAAATGTCCTCGTCCTCGACCCCATCACACCAACACATGTTTGGACAGATATTTAAGGCATTTGCTAAAGAATTCATGGCATACGTATGGTGCTGTATATATTATATGGACTAGGGTTGGGGTGTATTGAGGGTATAAATGTATCTTTAATGGTGCCCAAGTTTTTAAGAGTTATTTGCCATAATTTTAGGGTCATGAAACTAGTGCCTTGTTAATACTGGAAAAGATAACAGACAGAAACCTCATCAATGCAACCAATGCAGCTTTGCAAACGTGAGTACCTGCAGGGTGAACCTTGTGACCCGAAATTAAGATGTTTAATGGGTTTTTTTCCTAACATGGGACCACTGGAGTCAGTCTCTCACGGAAGCAGTTAAAAAATAAAGAACGATTTTTATAATTGACAAAACTCATTGCTAAAATCATCACAATGAAAAGACATTACTGGAAAAAAAAGCTCTTGAGCTGAAACTTTATTGTTGAAAAAGTGTTTTTTCAGTCCACTTTTACAGAAGAAACTAATACTATTCTGTATGTTTGAATGGCAGCCAGCTGGAATAATCCATTATTTGACACTAGCAAAAAACGAGAGAAAAAGGTGTATTGTGTGTCTGTGAGCCAGGCTCACAGGAACGGCTTAAATCTTGGGTCAGCGTCTCTCACTGTCCTCTCCCAGCTTCCATTTGCTACTTTGAGACTTGGTAAAGAGAAAAATCCCACAATACTGGTCCCATTCAGATACCAGTATTTGGACCTTTTAAGGGTCCAAAAATCAGTCATGGAGCCTCTAAACTGTTTTCAAAGCCTATTAGAGTCTGCACTGTTGCAATGTCCAGCTTTTGTTGTATATTGTTACACGTGTTGCAACCACATTTCCTAAAACAATTAACGCAATTTAGTTGGTGAAATCCTTTTAAACCTTGAGTCTTGAGGGAAACTAGCAACAGGGTTTGGTGAAGGTGGGAACTCAGTGCTGGGGCCCAGTGCTCGGGGGAGCCGTGCTAACGAGGCCAGGCCCTGCACCCCGCGCGGGCTCTGCCGTCTCGTCCCCCTACTCTGTGTCTGCTTTGCCCTTGGGATTCAGTGCCTCCAGTTCGTACCTCTGGGTCCTCACAGCCTAGCAGAAATGCTCTTCAATCCCAGGACGGGTTAGGGGGGTTATGCACGTGGGCAGCATGTATGTACATGCACACATGTCTCCCCCCAGGCCTCTGCATGTTGCTGCCCGGAACGGGCTAACAATGGTGGTTCAAGAACTTTTGGGGAAAGGAGCAAGCGTGCTTGCTGTAGATGAAAACGGTAAGTAGGTTCCATTTCTTTCTTAAACCTCTTAGAAACGTCTGTATGTGAAATAAAGTAAATCTGGATGGTTTTTATTGGTCAAAGAGGAGAGCTGAAGTTAATACTGAGAGTACTTTGTGGCAAAGGGAATACGGACAGGAGAGACAGGGAAGGGCTGTCTAACAGATGAACTTCCGAACCCCATATGTCTGGTAAATCCGAGGTGGTGGTTACTAACTGCGCTTTAGTGATTCTGCCTGTTTTTAGGAGTCAGAGACTTTATTCTGTCACCAGCTATTTATCGAGGCCGTTAAGTGCCAGGTCTTATTTAAAGCTAATCTTCCCACTTCTGCATGGCATCCTGTTCTCCTTTGCCTACTTGAGACGCACTTCAGCATTTCTTCCTGTCTGTCCTGTAGGAATCGTTCTAGATTATCCCATCAATATAGAAACATTTCTCTATCTTAAAAAAATCTTTGATTAATTCCGCCACTCCTGCCGCGTTTCTCTGTTCCCTGGGCAGCAGTGACTGGAGTCGGTACTCCTCCCGTCCTTAATTCTCCTCCTTCATTCTCTTAAATCCTATCCAGTCAGACCTCTGCCCCCACCACCTACAGAGCTGTTCTCAGCAAGACCACCAGTGATCACCGTTTTGAGACAATTCTTAGTTCTCATTTTATTTGACCTAGACCTCATTTTACTAGAATTTGACCTGATTATTCCTTTTTTAAAAATAGGAATAAGCTTTTAATATGGAATTTACTATATATGTGACAAAGGGATGTGAAGGTTGCATCTGCCCTAGCTGGTGTCCAGCAGCCCCCAGACGGTCCCCGTGTTGTCCCTGGACCAGCAGGTGCACACCTCTTCAGGGCAGGAGAGGGAGAGCTGGGAGACGTGTGATGTGATTTCAGTGTCCTTCTTCAGGAGGGTGTTCATTCACAAATCCTGGTACCTTGAATTGATAACTAGCTTGATGGGTAGATTAAGTCACCAGCTTTATTGGAGCTGAAATTTTTTATTTCTTGATTTTTTATTGAGGTGTCATTGGCATACAACGTTATAGTGCTTTCAGGTATCTCCCTTTTTTTGAAAAAAATTTTACTTGGCTTTTAGGACTCCACACTTTCTTGGTTTTTCTCCTTATTTCTAGTTCTTCCCAGTTCCTCTCGCAGTTTCTCCCTCTCCTCCCCAGCGTCTTCATGTTGGAGGGCTCTAGGATTCAGTGTTCAGTTGTTTTCACTTTCCCTGGGGGACCTCACCCAGGCCCTTTGTTCTCAGGGCTGCCCTTGTGCTGAGACTCCTAAGTCCATATCCCTGGATTTATAGATCCAGCTGCCTTGTTGACAGCAGATCTCTTGGCTAATAAACCTGCCTAGATCTGAACCTCTGCCCCTCCCCTCCTCCCTCGGAGCTGCTCAGAACGCCAACCGAGGCCTCCCTGACTCCTCTTCTCCCGGCGTGCAATCCACCAGCCTGCCCTGCTGGTCCTCCTGCACAAAGTATGTTCAGAATACACCTCCTTCCTCTCCTCCCCCCGCACCTCGTCCCCGCTCCCCAGCCCAAGGGCCCCTCCCCCTGCTCCCATGCCCGAGTCCCTTCACAATACGTGAGAAGATCCCACTCCTCCCATCCCAGCTCCCTCATACCCCTTAGACAGTCTCCCAGGCCCTCCACAGTCAGACTGCTGCCCTGTGACCCTTCCAGCCTCAGCTCCTGCTGCTCTCCTCGCATCCTGTCCTCCACCCCAGGGACATCCACGCATGTTGATCGTTTAAGATTTGGTATGTTTTTCCTTATAAAGTGCGAATGACAGTGAAAGTCACCTGTGACCGCTGTCCCTGACACACTTTGCAATGTGAGATAATCATCGTGGTCCAGCATTAGCAGGTCATGTAGTAAGTACTGATCCTATTTTATAATCAATTCTAGCTTCAGATTAACGATCCAGTTACACACTGCTCCCCAGACAGCAGTTGATGGTTCACAAGGCTCTGTGTGTTCTCACAGTCTCTCCCGACCCAGCCTGGGTGCCCAGTGTTCCTTACCAGTTCGTTGTACTCAAACCGTGGGGTGCCTTAGGACTAACGTCAGTCTTCTGCTAAAGAAAGGAACATAAACAAAGGAGACAGACATTCTGACTCAGGCGCTTTCGGGCTGCTTAGTTTACCTGCTCTCGCCTGTGGACTCTGATCCTGTAAGAGAGTTAGCCGACAGCTGAGCGCCGTGTTTCTCCTGAGCCCCTGCTCAGAGCCCCTCCATGAGCGCAAGTGCCTCTAGGTTTCCCAGCCTGTACGCGCTTACTGCTCCTCTGCAGGTCTGTTAGTAAGACTCTCCCACCATTCAGAGCGAGGGCTTACCCGTCTGGCTTTCCCCCTTACCCTAGCCCTGTCTTCTGTGAGTTCAGAAGGACCTGGGGGCGTCACCCATCTCTGGGCCCCCGTCTCCTCTGCTACCGTGTAGTTTGTTAAGTCTTTCCTCCCCCATCCCCAGATTCCTGTGACTTCTCTCTTTTTCTACTTGTTGGAAAGTTCTGAATCGTTCTAATTAAACCAGTGTATTATAAGCCAGGAAATGTAAAGTGTATCTAAAGTTGAAGGTCTTTGGGCTTACTTCCTTCAATTAGTGAAGTGCCTCCCTCATTTCACTTTTAAATTTGATCTCTACCTCTAGGCTACACCCCAGCTCTGGCCTGTGCTCCCAACAAGGACGTGGCCGACTGCCTGGCCCTCATTTTGGCCACCATGATGCCTGTCTCATCCAGCAGCCCCTTGTCATCGCTGACATTCAACGCTATTAACCGTTACAGCAACACCTCAAAGACGGTCAGCTTCGAGGCCTTGCCCATCATGAGGAGCGACCCCAGCTCCTACTGCAGTTTCAACAACGTGGGCGGGGAGCAGGAGTACCTGTACACAGACGCGGATGAGCTCAACGACTCTGACTCCGAGACCTACTGAGAGGCCGAGCCAGGGGCCCAGGGTGCTGGCGCTGTGCTTTTTCTGGAAAAAAGCACCTTCTTATGCACGCACAGATTCAACCTGAGAGATCGTGGAGTAAGCGAATGTAAGAAACGTGATGACATTAGGAAGAAGAGTTTTAAAGGCAAGTTTTGCAAAACGAACTTCTGGAATCTTGAAATCGACTTGACCAAGGACACCCCGCCGTCGAGATGCTCGGTGGAATTGTGCAATTCGGTCTTGCAGTGCCAGGAGTGATCTGGGACGCTGTGCACCCTAGTCTGCTTACACAAGCAACACTATGGTAAAAGAGGAGATCAGGACACTAGATTTAACCTTTACCAGACCAGTAAAATGACAATTAAACTTAAGGGCAATAAAAGTTTGGTACAGTAGGCATTACTGCACAGCAAGTTGCCAAAGGACCAAATAACTTGAAGGTTTTTAATAGAACGCCACTTGCGGAAGCAGAGCGGGTGAAATGAGACATTATCTAAACCAAACTTTAATATTTCTGAAAATGAAGCTGAGATTTGGTTTTAAATGTTGATTTTTTTTGTAAGAAAACATCTGAAAGCCTTCTAATACTGTATTAAACCATGAGAGAAAGCAGATGTATTTTTACATTTTTTCTTTTACATAAAAATTTTAAAATTCCAACTTTTATAATACTAGAATTGAAAACCAGCTGACTGGGTGCAGTCAGGGTGGAAATATTTGTGACGTAGACACAAGACAGGTTGGGGTCGGGCTCCTGCTGCCCAGTCGTGAGTGGTTTAGGTTTTAAATTGAACTATTTTTGTTTGAAAATGTAAAGGGTTTCCTAGAAGAAAACCTCATGAAATCAAAAAGTAGATTATTTTCACCCTGTTGCAGCTGAGTGGTCCCGGGGAGTGCAGTTTCAGCCTCACTGCTCTGGATGGTACGCCTGTGTCTCTGACATCACCCTGTGCCTCCACAGCGGCTTGGGGGGTTTCTGTTTTCGGTGGTTGGTGAAGAACCAAAAAGAAAACTCCCTTGTTATCCGTAAGGTAACATCATCGGGTGTCTTGGAAGGCACGTCCTTATTGGGCACGGTTTACAGTGCTGAAGCGTTCAGGTCTTCTTGACACTGGAAGCAGCATGTGTGTGACGGGCTGCGGGTGGGGAGAGAAGCAGCTGTCTGCTGAGCTGGGAGGCCGCCTTTCAGAGAACGAAAAGGGGGAAGGGCTGACGTTCAGGCTTTTAAATACCAGTCTCCTGGGTCTGCCTTTACTGTAACTGTCACTTTCCCGTGAAAGCGATCTCACATACGTGGGAAGGAGTCTTGCAGGTCTGGGTGAAGTTCCATGAATTTTCACAAAATGATACCCGATTTCATTTTATTCTTTTTGTATTGTGAAACTGGAAAACTCTATGACACTGTAAGTTACCAGCTGGTTTTTCTGAATATAAAGTGTGAAGACACAGAACAGTATTTTGACTATTTGGTAATTTGTGGGTTTTGAAGATTTATGAGCATGTAAATAGAAGTAGTGACTGCCTGAACACTGTGTTGACTTGCACTCCTTCAGTACAGCAAGATCCCTGTATATTTTAGAGCATAATAAAACACAGACGTGAGCTGTATCTAATGAACAGTGTATTTGTATCTGTGCATAGTACCTAAAAAGTCTATGAAATTTCTAGGGCATTGACTACTAGTTTTAAGCATTTTTTCTAAAATATTTACAGAAATTACAAATGTAATCTTCCATCTTTTCTTTATAACATAAAGGAGTGATAACAGATCCTTCCTCCTCCTCAGTGGCAGGAAGGTGACTTTGCATTTTAAAGACAGCGGACTGCGTTTTCTATTGTACCTTTTGAAACAAAAGAAAAAACTCAAGAGGATTCTAAAGTATGTATCTGTGTGCTTTCTCTTTCCTTTTAGGAATTCACTGCTGATTCCCTGAGGGAATCTCCTAGAATCTCAGAATTGAAAGAGACCTGGGGTTCATCACTAACTCTTAACAGATGCGGGAGTCCCTTCTCCAAGGGTGACCTTGCCACCTTGGACACTTGCAGTGACTACCTCACCGCGCAGCCCGCCCACCGGCTGAGCCGCCCTGTCCGCAAGGCCCTCCCTGCCTGGCGCCGCAGCCTCCCTCCCGGACCGGTACCTGCCGTCCGTGCGGGGCCGGCTCTGCCCTCCAGGAGAACGCCCAGGACTCGCGCCCTCTACCACACCTTCTCTTTTACAGGCCGTGCGACTCATCTGCGGAAGTGATTTCCAGAAGGACGCATGAGACACACTGTTAGATGGACCACATCTAACCAGATGCAAGGTGTAGCTATAAAGTAACAAGTGTTTTTAATTTAGCCTCCCACGTCCCAGAATTTAGATCTTGAACCACTTTATGTAAAAGATGCCGTGACTGAAAATACCTGTGGTGCGGTGGTTCTTCCCCTGGCTTGCGCACTGGGAAAGCCGTTCCGTTTCTTTGTGATCGCGCTGTGTGAGCGTCTGCCCCCTCCCCGCCGCCCCGCTTGAACACCCACTTCCTCCGGCCTGCCCCTGATGCGGGGGGCTCCACAGCGCCGCCCGCGCAGGGAACGGGCGGCACCAGCATCGCTGCGCCGCCTGCGCAGGAGCGCAGCGTCGCGGTCAGCTCCTTTATAGTTACACCTTGTCTGTCAGAAGCGGTCAGGCCCTGCTCTGCAGCGCGTTTTCCACTCAGAATAGAAAAGCTTGTTTGCTTTTTTCACTTCTGCATGAAAGGCGCCGTCTGGAGTACCTGGTGTGTGTGAGAACACCAGCTCCTGCTCCAGAGCTGCCCTGCGGGCGGCGCAGGAGCAGCCGTGACCCTCTAACAGGACGCTCATCTCAAACAGTGCCATTCACTTCAGGAGAGCTCTACGTGTAGCTGTCAAATTGGGGTTTAATTTGGCTAATATTGGAACTTTTCAATGAAATAAAGTTTTTTAATGCAGTAAATCAAGTGTCTTTCTTTTTCCCGGGGAAATGTCTTTTCTTTTATCTTTAAAATGTCTGATTAGTGTTCAGTTGTAACTAGTTTTGACTTTTCTTTTTAATGTTTCTTTTTAAAAAATAATTGGGGGGGTGGGCGGGAATTAGGTTTGTTTATTTACTTTTAGAGGAGGCACTGGGGATTGAACCCAGGACCTTGTGCGTGCTAAGCATGTGCTCTACCGCTTGAGCTATATCCTCCCCCCAGCTTTGACTTTTCTTTTAAAAGTTAATTTTCAGTAAAACTGTTCTAGAATTTAGATGAACCTTTCAAAATGGACTTTTCAAATACAGTTATTCAACAAATACTTCCTGCTTGCTGGCTGCACACGGGGTGGTGGGAGTGAGCAGCCAGTGAGCCTAGGAATTGTGCTCCTGTCCCCCTGGGACTTACCATCTCATCATGGAGAGGTCCACACCTAGAAGGAGAAAGGAGGAAAGTGTCACTGAGGTGGAGGCGAACTTCTAACGAAGGAAGGGCAGAGAACAGCAAGTCACTCTGCAAAGGAAGATCAGAGCAGGCTTCTTGGAGGAGCTGACATTTAGGCTGGACATGGAGGAACAAACATGACGTGAGCAGGTGGCGAAGGGGCAAATGATAGCCTAGGTGAGAAGGACAAAATCAGCAGTTCTTAAAATGGGTGGTGGAGGGGAGGTGGGTGGAAGAGATGCCAGCCCGTAGCCTTCCTGAGCAGAAACAGGCCAGGAAAACCTACAAAAACCTACAAAAGAGCTCGTTACAAATATGTACAGAAGTCAGGGAAAAGTAAGAACAGCCAGTTACAGACGGGGCTGGAGGAGCAGGCAGAGCTGACGAGTAACTTCACACTGCTGCTACTCCCAGCAAGTGCCCACGTGTTTGTCAGTACCAGGCGAGGTCGTCAGTACTTGAAATACATCTCTCAGTCCTCACCGCTGTGCCATGAGGTAGGTCCTATTAACAGCAACATTTGACAGATGAGGGATGAGACAGGTCAAGTCGCTTCTGCCCAAGCTTGCTTGGCCAGTAATTGGTGAAGCCTGGATTCAAATCCACCACCGTGGGTGCTCTTGATCACCTGGTGACCTCTGACGTCCTCCAACGTGCTTTCTGGGCCTGGTTGAAATCGGTGGTTTTGAAGTGGGACCACCTGCTTGACTAAATTATGTAATAAGTTCCTTTCGGTTTTATTCTCCTAGGTCATGAGCTTCAGAAGAAACACATGAAAGCGCAACACGTTCCCCAAACACCTGCTGCGCACTAGGCTCTGGGCAGCCCGCAGTCAAGGGAGAGGCGACAAAAAAATGTGTCCTCGGGACGGAGCGAAGAGAGGGACACCTGCTTAGGCTTCCGCTGCTGCCTCGAGTCCCTCACCCTGAACCCTCATCCTCTCTCCTGCCTCCGCAGGTTGGCTGACGGCCCGGCAGGGTGACGCCTCCGTCTGGAGCCTGGCCGGGCTGCTCCGTCCGTGCTCCTCTGTGACTGCCGCATGGGAGGGTGACCCGCCCACTGCGCACTGGCTGCTCCTCCGTGAGATGGGCGGCGGGCTCTGTGCGGAGGGGAGGGATGACCAGAGTCCCCGTCACGGTCCACGTCACGTGGGACGGTGACCAGCCCATTCATCACCGTCTCTGTGTATCCACGGGCTTGCTGAGCAGCCTCTGCCACCCTGCCTTCTCCTCCCCTTCCTGTGGTTCCCCTTCTGGTTGGTGTAGGGGGTCCGATGTCAAGGTGGGCGGCCAAGATGAACTTGGACTTGGGAAGTTCTCACCGGGCCATGTAGAACTCACTGGACTTCCTCTTTTCCAGGGGTGGAGACCCAACCTTCTGCTGCCCCTGACTCCAGAACAATGTAGCACTGGCCCCTTGCGCGCCTTCCGGGACTGTCCCCTCCCCATCGGAGCCTGATCTAACCGAAGACCGAGAGTACAAAGCAGCCAGGGGTAGACAGCTCTCCGCTCCATCTGGACCGTTTCACCGGCCCCGAACTGACCGCTCCAGCGCTGCTGCGAGCTGCTTTTCTGCGCCTTCCTTTGTGTTCGTTCCTGTTTCCTGCAGGCGGTTTCACTTCTTAGGATTCTTACCTGTCTTGTTTCTTCATTAGGAAAGAGATACTGGCTGAGGTGGTACTCCCTTAATTTGAAAAGCCCGAGATTTAATCTTAAAATATTTCTTCCTCTTCGCCCTCCTCTAAACTGCACAGTGAAAATGCAATTTTCCTTTAAGCCCTGGAGTAGACGGTTCTTGAGCACGCTCTGCACAGGCAGTGTCTTAAATCCTGGAGCTACCCCAGGGTTAAAGCTCCTGCCCTCGGGAAGCGTACGTCTCAGCTGGGGAGAGACAAGACGAGAATCAGATGGTGCTCACTCTGCAGAGGAAGGCTGGTGAGCCTAACTGGGTGGCTGTTTAAGAGTTGGTATTTGGGGGAGGGGGCATCCTTGATTGAGAAAATGCCTCGGCCATTTATGCTCTAGGGGATTCCATAAACAATTTCTGATGGGAGACACCGTAAAATTTTGCTGAAAAAGCGGAAGAAGTTTGAAGGAACAAACTGGCAAAAGCAGGAAGAGGACAGAGTGCGATGGTGAGCTGATCCCCCAGAGCAAACCTGAGGATTCTGCTGAGGTCACTCTCGCCAGAGGGCACATCGTGGCTCAGCCCGAGCAGCGGCAGGCACTTGAACAGAGAAGGCGTCTGGGTGAGTGGAAGCGTCTCGCAGATGCCTGTGAGCTCAGCCGTCCCCAGTCCACAACGTGTAACTTGTCTGCACCTTCAGCTAGAAATGAACATGGCGCAATGCTTGGGGTTAGGTTAGCACTAAGCTCTAAAACTTGGGCTGTATGGTAATGCTGTCCACCACCCCCCGCCCCAAAGAAAGAAAAAGGCAACTTGGCTTGTTTCTGGTACCCAGGGTAACAGCAGGAACTGCGACAGCGCCTCCGACCTCGTGGGAACAATCAAAATGCAATTTTTATGTTGACAGTAAAGTTTTCAGTTGACATCTTACTTCTGTGTAACCTGGTGTGAACCCTCACCCCTGCCACAGAGATGGTAGGACCTGCGATATGTGAGGAAGAACTGTTTGTGGTAGATATTCATGGTAAGAAATGCCAAAGGCACAGAGAACGTGGATGATGAGAAGGACAAGGGGCTTCTGGAGAAGGGCTTTGTCTCCTCGCGTCTGGGAGGCAGAGCGTAGGGCAGGGGAAGAAAGGCCTCCGGTTGCCTGCAGCCAGGTAACTACTAGGAGCAGGACCTGAGACATTGCAAATGGTCAGACAGCTTTTGCCAAGTGAGGTCGGTGAAAATGGCCAAGCAAGGACCTCTGAGTCTTGATAAGAACGGGGGCCTCTGTGGCATTTCCTCTCGCTCCAGTTGCATCCCTCATTCCCGCTCTGCAGGCGCCCTGACAGCTGACAGCCCCCATTCTCCATGCAGCCTCGCAGCCACAAGGACAAGGAAGACAAAGCTAGAGCCCTTTCAAAGCCTCGCTCCCAAACCATGTCATCGTTTGGCCTGTCGATGGTACCCTGGGCCCCTGCTCACCGTGCTGTCTGCAGTGGAGCTAACTCAAAGTTGACCCCGTGTGAAAGTTACTCTCCCAGGGGAGGTGTTTCTCAAAAACAAATACAGGCAAGAGCTCTAATGTGTCACTTGCCTTAGAAGATGGGCAAGAGCTGGCAAGCAACAGACAACCCAGAGGCTTAA